TCCTCATGATGCTTCACTGCCTTGTGGGTCAGACCTTTAGGCCAAAGGCTTGGGGTGTGGCCCCCTAAGAAAATCACCTGCTTCGGTCTGGGCACCCGGGTAGTATCACAGCCCACAGACAAATATAGTGATAAAGAAAATGATGGTATTTACTGAAAACTCTATTCTCGCTTCGATTTACAGTCAGACAATTCACATTATTATTATTATTATTGTTATTATTATTATTATTATTATTATTATTTTTATTTACTACGTCATTTACTCACTCTTATTCCCACTCTGTCTATCTTTACTTTTCGACCTATATAGCAGCTCGCCTACAGTGGAATTTCGGTTCTATCTAAACGTTCCCAAGTCACTGCCTAGTTGAAAATTGTATGCTACCACCAAATACGAATACTAAGACAGTTTTTCTGAAACCACGTGCACCATTCAAACTGGCTGCCTTCAACGTTCGCACATTTATGCAGGTCGGACAACAGATAGGGCTGGCTATGTCTTTGGAAAGTCTTAACATTGACGTTTGTTGTCTATCCGAGACCCGTATTAAAGACTCTGCTGAAGTACTACAAATTCGCTCTCCATCTGTCGCTTCAAAAGGCTTGTTTTACGTGCGTTTATCTGGGGACCGTGAGGCATCTTCTTCTGGTCTTGTTGGCGTTGGTGTCGCACTAAGCGCTAGAGTTGAGGCAGCACTAATCGATCGGATCCACATTAACAGTCGGTTATGTGCTGTTAGATTAGAAAGTTTCATCAAAGTGAGAAGAAATCGGCGTGAGAAACGATGTCTTTTAGTCATCTTCGCCGATGCCTCGACAGATTGCAGCCTGGATGTAATCAAGGATGAATTCTACCACCAATTATCTGTTCTTCTATAGAAAGTGCGTTTGACAGATATTGTAGTACTAGCCAGAGACTTGGATGCTCAGGTTGGGCGTCTAGGCACAGAAGAGAGTCGTTTAGGTGGCCGATGGGAACTTGTTGGTCGCAGGACAGATAACGGGGACCGTCTACTGCAACTGTGCCTAGACCACAACCTGTTTCTGGCTAATACTAACTTCCGGCACAGTCATCGCCGATGTGCCATCTGGCGTCCTCCCTCTGCATCTCAAGCCTGGACTCAGATTGATTACATCGCGATCATCTACCGCTGACATGGTTGTGTACAAGACTGCCGCTCCTTTTGGAGTACCTATCTGGACTCTGATCATGCCTTGGTCTGCGCCAATCTTGCCTTACTTTTCAGTGGACAACGAAGTGACCGCCATCAACAAATTGATATCAGCAAGCTGGTTGCAACTTCTGTTGCTAGTAAGTATCGAACCGAGCTAGTCTCTAGGCTAGCTACCATTTCACCGAAAAGTATAGATGAGTATTGGTTGCAATTGCATGACGCCATGAAAATGGCGGGTACAGTCAGTTGTGGGTTCGCGAAACGTCCCGCTTATAAGTACTGGGTTTCTTCAGATTCCTTACAACTCATTGAAGCCCGTCGGTCTACTCCGGGTGGCTGTGAGTTTGACCACAAACGAAGGATGTTACGTAAGGAAATTGGGCAAATCTTGCATAAGCACCGAGAAGCCTGGTGGTCGGAGTGTGCTAATGAGCTGGAAGCAATAGCTGCATCTGGTAACTACCGGAAGCTCTTCCAACTCATCCGAGCCACTGGCAGCAAGAAGTCTGGTGTGAGCGAAACAATCTACGAGGATGATGGGATGCCAATCACTAACATCCATCGACGTCTTGGACGATGGGCAGAATTCTTCAAAGGGCAGTTCAACTGGCCTGCTGCTCCGTCAACATCGGTCAGACTGTCCTGCCCTCCATGGACGGTGACGACTGATCCACCAAATGAGGCTGAAGTCCGCAAAGAACTCCAACTCTTGAAGCGTTACAAATCACCGGGCCCAGATGACTTACCTCTGGCTCTTTTTAAATATGGTGGTGACTTTCTTACTAAGGAATTGACGACGTTGTTCACAAAGGTCTGGGAGCTCGAGGGTGTACCAACGTCATGGAATGAGTCAATAGTTGTCCCTATCTTTAAAAACGGTCCACGTCGTTCTTGTAACAACTATCGGGGGATAAGTCTACTTCCGATTGCGTCCAAGCTATTAGCTTCCGTCATACTTCGTAGGTTGTTCAAAACCCGGTGGCTTGGACATGTTCTCCGAATGTCGTCCCAGAGAATTCCACGTCGTGCATTATTTGCCGACTCTGGGACTGGTTGGAAAAAGCGGAGAGGTGGTCAGTTTGACATGGTGTCGGAGTATGAAAGAAAGCTGCGAAGGGCTGGCTTCTGTCGGTCCCTCACGACTCCCTGGCTGGGATCCGAGAGATGGTGCTACACAGTGGCTAGAGACGTTATCAGAAAAGGCTCAGAATAGAAGCCAGTGGCGATCCTGCTGCAACCTTCTTTTACTTTCTTCATAAAAAGTGGTTGTATCTTCCTTAAATGAATCAATTCTTTCTGGTTGCACCTTTCCGTTCCCCTCATTATTATTATTACTACACTACCTTACACTAACCTGTGGTCGTTATCGTTCTCTTCCGTTTTTTTCATACGTATCATACAATATTTTACTCTTACAATTCTCATTGTTATGTGTGGCGCATATGTATTTGGTGCTCCCTTGTACCAATATTTATGTGTTCAAATAAATAAATAAATGGTTGAGATTCTATCAAAATAGCACTCTATTTTCCTCTCGACTTTGAATTCATAAATGCCTTTCTACTGAGTAATTTTTAACTATATTCTCAATATTCAATCTTATTAACATTGTTGATACATTATTTCGATTCTTATGGTATTTGTATATTTTAAATTTGTCTTGTCCTGTTAATGTTGTATTGTAAGTTTAGATAATGCATATTATGTAGTAGGATCCACGTTAATTATGACTGATTGACTATCATCTGCAACCGAGAAAGGTTACTTCATAAATGTTGTATTTTGAAAACTGAAGATAAAAATACATAAATTTTCGCTTCCTTTTAGATTAGCTCAATGTATAAATATGTACTATATACATAGCTAAAAGATGCACATCAAATCGCCTCGTGTTGTTCACCACGAGACAAACTTAATGTTTACATCTGGTTTCGGGACAAGTCGTAGATCAGGCCGATCTCTATCGAAAACCTATGTTAGTTTATGAAGCACAGCATCACGATCTTCTCAATAATGCAAGCTCTAAGTTCGATTTTGGTTGGTAATAGTTTAATGTGGTTGGAAATAACATTTAGTAACGACCGTATGTAACAAAACAGCCAAAAGAATATGTGATGCCTCGTGAAGTGGGAAGACTATTTCATTTATTCAATTTATATAACCTGACGTGGCATATCGAATAATAATTAAAATACTTCTTTTATCTTAAAGGACTCATATTATATGGTTGAAATACACAGCTTAACTAAAAGACTTCATGTAAAATCTTTTTTTCACTGGAACGAATGAACCTATAACGATAAATCACAACTTTCAAGAGTATGGATAATCAAAATGTCGAAACGACATAATGTAAACGTATTACATGATTCACAAAAAAATATTGTTCGAAACTACAACAATCGCAAATCCAGTGCTTTTGAAAACCATTTACTTCAATTTGAAAAAAACTTAAACACAACCCTCTATGTAAACTGAAAATTATTACACATATCAAATGATTAATCTCACTTAATTATCCGTTAACAGATATTATATCAATTTCAATAGTTGAGATCATGAGTCAATTGAAGCTAGACCACCATCGAAAACCTGGAAGCATTGGACGGCTATTTCGTCTTACTGTGTGACTCCTCAGCAATACACATCTATGATCCCGCCTCGCGAGATTTGAACCCAGGACCTATCAGTCTTGCGTATAAACGCTTAACCACTAGGCCACTGAGCTGTCATCCAATGGTGCTAATGTCTATCTAACTTCAAATAATCCACGAAATTGAGCGACAAATTATATTAACCAAACTTTTATTTACAAGCTAATTTAGTGAAGATTTCATTAAATTAATAAACAATAATTCTTTTATTGCTTCGTTTATTTCGTTCGTAGAACATTTCTAGAGTAATTTATACAATGAAGCAATTGAAAATTGACAAAGTCAATCGAAAATAAACCAAATGAAGAATACGAAACAAAATAAATTGAAGATAATGGAGAACAATAAAAAGACGAACCCAACTTTAACATCAATAAGCTAAACCTCAAATAAATAAAAAAACTGGATACATTAAGTTGAACTAGCTACGCATTACTCAGTGAAGAGATGGTCAGGATTTTATAAAATCCTACAAAGAATAGGAGAAAATGACAAGAATGAATAACAGTAGAGTAAAAAAGAAGAAATGTTGAAGTTTATTAGACAATAAAATCTTCCATATATATATATATATATATATATATATATATATATATACTACAGGGAATACAAGTTACACAGGTGATTTTATGAATGTTAATGACAAGTAGAAAAGTGAGATATTACCGAGAAACAAAGATTACAACTTTATCCTTCCACCCTTTCACAAATACAAATGATTGAGCAACTAATGCGAAATAGTGTCAGATTGAAATAAGTAAATATTCTATGCAGAGAAACATAGAGATAGAGAGCACAGAGGATATGAAAAGGTGATTGTTCCATGACTTTGTAATACGTGTCATTTCTTAGATAAATCTTGTAATAATGTTTCAACATCAAACCGTTAGAATATCATTTAAAACAATATTTGGTACAATTCCATTAGCCATGAAATGAACAGAAAAAATATCGGACCGGTTACAAAATCACGGACGAATAACAGGTAACTAAAAGACAGTGCATTTCTTAAAAATAATTAAGAAAATTAAAAACATAACAATGGACAACCAAACTGCAACCCTTTTCCTTCACATTCTACAATAATAATAATAATAATAATAATAATAATAATAATAATAAGGCGTAGAAATAAAAGACAAAGTCGTGATACATATAAGGAAAAAGACCACCAATGCATTCGTTGAGTGTGTTTTTTTCTTTCGAAGACTAATTACAGGGAAGTATAAAACAGAGGGGTAGGACGGATGAAGATCTAATTGATTTCATGTAAATAAATTTAAAAAAGCGAACTATGAAAAACAGAAAGGCATTCAATTTTCAAGTACCATATACAAACACATTCATATCGTTATTATCACGGCGAACATAATGTTTATCAATAAGCCATTCTAATACTTCTTTAATTAATCGTTTCGATGGAACAAATTGAAATCGTAATAGATCAACTAATTCTTGATATAATTCATTATGATGTAAACGTTTACGTGTTTTCAATAATTTAATTATGCCCTCTTGTGCACGTAGTTGACGTAATTCCACAATAGCCATACTTTCTTCTTCATTTGTTATTTCATGAGTTAATTGGAGTCGACCTATCAGATTGATTCTTCGTCGATTTTGAACTTTGCCCATTTTCCTATAAAAACAAAAAGAACATTAAGAATGTATAGAAAAAATGAAGCGTGTAATACATTCAGTATAATTTGTTGCCGGTTCATTGATCCAAATTAACTGCCACCAGACAGGAAGGTCATGGACACGATGCCTGACAGGATCATGTAAGTGTAATGGCAAAAGTCACATACTATGAAGAAACAGTTGTTTAGAGATTCCTGCTTTTTGATGGTTATCTAGCCAAGATCAATCTATGATCCGGACTAAGAAATTTAACTGAACCCTTGAAAATATACCAAATCAGCCTGTCGTGTTGATTTGATACGAACTGCACTGTGTGGGGGTGAGTGATACCACCTAGTAGTTCAGGTCTAGGTAGCTGGCACGGGTTTAGAACCCGAAACTTAGTGACCAAAAATCGAAATAATTCATCGCTCTGCGTTTGAATATGAACACGTTTTCTGTCAGTTTCCAATTATCTGTATTTGTTTGCCTGGCCGCTCTATTTCAAGTTCTACTGGCTGTCCTAAATATACATTTTTACAAACATTTTCAATCGATTATTAGCCTTCTGTTATCTGTCCAAAAGTGACAGGAGAGTTCGGGTCATTAAACATTGTAAGGTAATATACAGAGGCAACCTTTCCAGTTAAATAGAAAACTAAAACCTCAACTCCTTCAGTTATTAGTTACGTTTGATGTACAAGTCCCAAAGCTACCGTTTCAATACACAGATTGGACTGACTATTGGAAAACTGGGCGCTGTCAATAAATGATCAGAGATTTTGTAGTCAAATAGCAACGACTTCTATTTAGTTGACGACGCTAGAGATTAAAGTACAACAGTGTCAGTGAGATTATGATTAGCTGTAGTTTGATAAGAAAACAAATCAATCTTTGGCCACTTCCATTCGCAAATCGCATAATTCAAAAAATGACATATTTTATGACAATTAATATAAGCCAGCTTGAATCGTCATGTATATAAAACCTTGCCTTTCATAACAATCCAAAGTTAAATTGAAATTAAAAACAAATGACCTCTCAGAGCAAACAAAACTGCATACTATGTTATGATTAGATAGGATAATTGTTTGCCTTTCATTCAGTTTCACAATAAATAACAATTATTACATTCCCCAATATAAAGAAGGTATTAGGTACCGTCAGTTGAGCAGCTTTGTAACATCGTCTGTCAATGAAAGGTATTTCAGTTTGCTGTTACGAAATGTTTGATTTAAACAATATTCATCACAGTTATCTACCCAGTGCATTTTTATCCAACTTCATCATAAACACAACTTTGTCATCTGACATTTTAGAGATCAATCTACTACATAAAGGTTTCCTCATTTACTTAAACGTTTTTCTTTTAGGTCACAACACTAATAAAATATGGCCTTCTACACACCTTAAACAACTCTGTTATTCAGTTGCAATGTGATCACAATTGAATAACGACCCAGTGAAGTTACATTGCGTAATAGAGCTAGCGAACAATCTCTCTCATTAGCATTATTTCAAAACCGTGAATTTAAACGATAAACAAACAAAATAACTCAAAACTTGAATAGTTTGGATTACGTACATCAATAAACTTCATATATATCATTAGATAAACAAATTAACGTAAATATTTTCCACAATACAAGTTGTCTTCCTCATTCAAATATTACGGATAACTTACGTATTTGTAAATTTTAAATTAAGCCAGAATTCTGTTTTAGCAGTGAATTGTTTTTCAGAGCTTACTTTAGGAGAATAACAAATAATCTGTTGTTCTAATTTAGGATGTTCACATAGTGACTAAAAAGTATGGAAAAAATATATACAGAATGTAAAGATGATAACCAAATATGACACTTAATAACAGGACAATATGTAAATGATATACGAAACGAAAATGTGACAAGAAAAAATAAACACCCCATGAAGTACACTATGTAATAGTCTAAATCAAACTACCATTGAAAACTAAGAATTAATGAATAGTTGCTTCTTACTAATGTTGGAACATTTATCTCATTAAATGTGTATATCTGTCAGCGTGCCTAGGATCTCTCTACACAAAACATCTCTTACACACATACATGAAATCGTAGTGAACACTTAAATGAATTAAATCAAATTTGAAGGAAGAAGGAAAACAGTCGAACTAGCGAAAAAAGAAGCTTAAGAGACATACTGCTGTGATCGTTATTTCTATTATTTTTTCTGCAAATAAATAACAAGATAAATTCTTTTTCAAGAGTAATACAATCAGATAGTATTCAAGCAAAAAATTCAAAATGGTAAGTAAGATCTTTTTTTGACATTGACACAACATATTTTCAGCGTATGAGGGGTTAGATATATATATATAGTGTATTAGTGTATATCGTCATACTATATTGTTACTATATATAGTCATTAAAATTGAATGATCCTAAAAACGTTATAAGTATCTTAGTATCGATATGTTTGAATAGTGAAAAACAAATACTTAATCGCTGAAAAATTCTCATCATATTAAAACACAAATATATGAACGAAGAATATTCCTTTCAGTAAATTTTCTTCCGGTTCTACAATTATATATTCAAATGAATAATCCAATAAGTGACCAAAATTAAGGCAAAATACATCGTTTAAAATTATAGCATGTGAATTAAGGATTGTTTGTAATAGAAAATAAAATCTACTTGTTTATGTTGGGTTAACTAATATAAAGTGATGGTTTGAATAAACTTATACGTCAAGTGAAATTGTGAGATAATTGACCATTAACATGAGAATCCTTCAGACGGTTGAAGTAATAGCTATTTGGATCAAAACTCGGAGCTTCGCTCCTAAAAGAAATACGCCCAACCGCTCCATTTGTGGTGTATGATATTTATGTTGACAGATATAAGTTGTATGCAACACAAATCGGAAGAGCAATACCAGACAGCAGAAGATTGAGAAGATCAAATTGACGAGAACAGGAATGTAAACAGAGAGCAATTTTAATAACAACAGAATTGAAAGAATCATGAAGCATGTAAAGGACAATTGAAGGAAGGTGTGCAGATAATATACTGAAAGTATAGTTGTCATCTTTTGTGAAAGCACTCTACAATTTTGCACTAAACAATAAATTGATTTTCCCCATCTGTGTTTTCGTTCATATCACTTTTACCTTTGTCAATTTCTGGCCTGATTATTTAACCATCATTTTTTTATGATATGGTGATGTATTTTGACTGATGTTCATTTTCATAGCTTACACTTATTTTATTCACACAATTATCATTGTTACTCTTCTTATTATTATCATAACACTTGCAGACGCTTTAAGAAATTTATTCAGCATTCACCTATATTTACTAATTCATACCTAATTCATATTATTCTACACATTACGTGCTTTCTTATTTGTAATTACGTTATTCTCTCTCTCTCCCAGCACATTTTGACCTTATTTATCTGATCATTTTTCTCGCCATTTCACTTAAAGTATAAACTTACTCAAGTCAACATTTCATATTAGTTAACCCAACATAAACGAGTAGATTTTATTTTCTATTACAAACAATCATTAATTCACATGCAAGGCGGCCTGCTGAAAATAACTGGGCTACCTGTTCCTACCATCTAGATATTTCAACAAGTTATCTGTATTTTGTTTGTTTCAACAGATCATTATGTCAATTAATTGCACAACCTATTCAGGTGAGTTTGTGAACATGTTCACGACATTTCGTTGCACAAGTTAGGAAGGAACACAATCAGAGACATTGTGGTTGCTAGCAATATACATCGAAAAGAATGTACATTGTTCGGATGTCGATTCCTAAATTGCTAACATCTAATTGGCGACCACTCAATTTATATATATTTTAAACGATGTATTTTGCCTTAATTCTGGTCACTTATTGGATTATTCATTTGAATATATAATTGTAGAACCTGAAGAGAATATATTGAAAGGAATATTCTTTGTTCATATATCTGAATGTTTTAATTAGTGAGTTTACAAAATGATTTGTTTTTTTCTTGTCTAGAAATGCTTTTAAATATCAATGTATTGGGAATTTTGATATAAAACAGATTATCTGGTACTTTTATAGGCGATGTTAATTAGAGAAATTGAAGACATACGAATAGTCGAATTTGTAGTAAAGGGAATTATAAATTATGTTTGTATGTAATCGTCGGGAAATAAAAAGTTTATAATTATGAAAATTGGAATTTTTATTATACTGTCTCTATCAGAAAGACTCCGACAGTTATATAATGGTCATCCTAGTAGAGAAATGAATTTAACGCTTGATTACCGTATTTTGAATAAGGAATGTATTCATCTAATCTTAAGCCATTTTTATTATCCAAACTCGTCAGCGATTGATCACTAAAATCTCTCCTCTACACACGAATCAGTTCAACAGTCAGCAATTTCACGAACTCACGTGTTAATGTATTTTCCCTCAACCCAACACCAGTGCTATCCACTTAGAATAAGTCGTATGTAACACAGAGCAAATGTATGTTTAAAATACATTTGTCTATAAAGTAAAAGAAATTATAAATGTATGCACAATCATGTTTCAATCTGAATTTATTATTAACTTCTTATTCAACAGATATGATATATTGGCATGAATTAAACTCAACCGTAAGTAAACTTCCTCCACCTACATAGCGCATTAGGTGGGTATCACTTCCGTGACAAAAAGTTATTAAGCATAATAATAATAATAAATATATTAGTTTTTTCCACCTCTGTATTATCGTTAAAAAGAGAACTACTTCTTTATAACAACAGATAAGTTCTCGAACAATTCAATGATTAGTTGTCTTTAAATAAAAATAAACTTAAAGTATCTTAACATAAAATGATTAACGATAATCAAGAATATTAGAAAACTGATTTAGTTAAAGATAATATTATCAATATATTCAGAATAAATGAAACAAACTACACAAGACATATAGTGTAGTAAACGAAAACTCAGTTGAGGTAAACCAATTTATTGCTTTATGCAAAATCAAACAGTAGCTTTGTAAAATATCAAAATTATACATTCAATACATCATCTTCATATTTTTTGTCAGTTGTCCTTTACACGTTTCATTATTCTTTTAATCCCATTGTCATTCCAATTACACTTCGTTTTCCTTCCTCTTCTCTTTATTTCATTCTTCTGATGGTAAGTATTCTACTTCTGATCCCTGTTACATACTATTTATTTCTGTTCGCATAAGTAGCGTAAACCACAATATGTATATATTTATATAAGTAAATAATATAAAACATACCCATAATGTTCGACGAAGATCAACATCTTGTAAACCAGTCGAAGTAAGCAAACAATCTAAATGAAGGTGTTGATCATATCTTCTATTCCAAGCGTATAAAACAACAAGCTGATAAGTGGTCACTTCAAATTCATAACGACCATGATCACTTGTATAAGCCAGTACTCCGTGAGATAAATGATGTTGCCATAGAAGACTCCGACCTTGATGTTTCTGACGATAGAAATCTTCAATCTGAAAAGGTATGGTTGAAAAATAATAGTAATAATAAACATACTATCTGTAACAAAATTACAAATTATGAGGAAACTTATCAAACAATATAATTAGCTGATAATAATCTTGATAATTAATATTTAATTATAAATATTCAAAGTAAATAATGGTAATGGATGTTGGATACGATTATTAACCAAAACACTAATATGTATTCATATTTAGTAAGTTTGAAAGAGGTATAAAATACATTTACAATATTCCATTTGTCACTTAAATTGTTTATTCTGGTTAGTGTTTTTCTTATAACAAATTTATCGGAAGGGAGGCTTTATGAAGATTTTAGTAATTTGATAACTGAATTCATGATTCACTTGAAGCTATACCACCATGAAAAACCTAGAAGCATTGGACGGCTGTTTCGTCCTAGTATGCGCACTGCAGAGGAGCCCCATACTAGGACGGAACGGCCATCCAGTACTTCCAGGGTTTCCCATGGTGGTCTAGATTTAATTGACTTATGAATTCAATTATTATCGCAAAGTTGTTTTCTACAGAATGGAGTTGTTGACTGCACGCTCAACCCTCCTCCCTTATACGGATTTGGGATTGGCAGTAACCCTAGAAGAGTTACAGGTGGTATCTATTGGTATCCATTACATAGTGAAAATATTATATTTTTAATTGATACTTGATACTGATATGTTACATATTCATCAACGTCTTATAAGGTGATCACAGTTATAGCTGGTATAAATCACTGCTAACATTTTAGATTGTGAAATTGTATGATGTGAGGAGGAGTAACATTAAGTCCTTAATAATCTCAAGTAGGTAACAATAAATAAAACTAGACAGAAAAAAGGATATGATTTTAACTATTAATTTCGTGTGGATATGTAAACATGGTGAAGTTACAGAAAGACTATAATACCAGATTATATAATATTAATGGTAACAATAAAAGATCGTATGTGTGCATATAGAAAGCGCCTTGTAAGATATAATAAGTTAACAATGAATTGTAATGTGAATGAAATAAGATAATTAATATTTTTTTTATTACAATAATTAAAGGTGATAGAAGGGTTAAATGAAACAAATATGAACAAAATCATGAGGATATGCGGGATAATTAAAGAATAAATAAGTCCATTGAAACATATCCCTAAATCTTCAGAAGGCCGCTCAAAAAAACCAGCAATAACTTTACACTCAATTGAATCTGAAAATATAACTAATTAAAATGGAACAAGAATCGTGCAAAAAAGTTTTAGTTCACATTCAAAAAAAGAATAATAACAGCAGAAGACGTACATATAAGGACAAATCCAAACAGTACTAACAGGTGAGATGGAATAAAGTTAGCTGTCTCATGGTAACTAATAATGAACCAGTCAACTTGAGCTCTTTATTCCATTTATCACTTGTTATATGGAAAACAACGATCATCTTCATTTGTTCTAATCAGTTGGTTTACCTGAATAGATAATGACCAAGATAATAACGCCAAAATTTTCTTTTCTTGTTTATTTATCTTCAATTTATGCGTTATTTGACATGTTTAATTGATGTCATCTATGAAAACTATCTGATTTCATCAAAAATAGTTAAAGGACTTTATTTCTATCACCTTAGATCCACTCACACGTACATATAATCTGATATCGTAACATACTTTTCTGAACTTTTCATATCAAATTCATTTTGTAATGGTTGTTTGAATCATCCCATTCGTGTTTAGGACTGCAACTGATTAGTCTGTTATTGCCATATGTGCATCCTGTAAGGATTGACTTGATATTGCCTTAAGTCACAAGCATTAAAAGCAAAGAAGGGTGATGCCAGGATGAGCGTTTCGTCCTACTTCGGACTCCCATCAAATGTTTTATACTCACTGAACCAAATCTTATTTTCAACATTGTCAACATGATTGGATAACCTGTTTGATAATTTTGATGTTTGATTATATTTTCATGAAAAAGCTTAAACCAGACTACCGAGTGAAATGTTTAATCGCTGAGATTTACACAAACATAATTTTACTCATTAAATATTTCTGCATTTTGTACTACTCAAACTTGGATTAATTTAATTTGGTTATTTATCCTCTGAAGAAGTGGCTTACACTGTGCCACGAAAAGTCAACAAAATTAAAAACTTAATTTTTTCACTCATTTGGATATTACAAAAATGTATTATTTTTATTTACAACGATCTACCTAATGCTCAATTTAGTTGAAATTATCAAGTCAAACCTTGATAATGATACCTATTTCTACATTTATATATGAAATGTGTGGATTAGTTGACAGTGATGGCAATTTGAATGAATTTCTGAGTTATGACACTTTCCTAGAAATATTGAATTATATTGTAAGTGAAAATTTAGACCAATATAAATTACGGTTAGATTTTATAAATACGCATATCTGTATGTGTTGCATGTAACTTTAACATTACCAAAAGTTAAGTTACCTGAGGAAGGAAATCTTCTAACTCCGCTGGTAATGAAATAGATGATTGTGGCTGAGGACGTAAAAGCCATGCACCACCGCTCAATATTTTAATGGTTATGATGTCTAAATTTAACGATGGTGTATTATTTGATATGCATGATGTAGAACATTGTGGAGATATTTTATATTTTTCTTTGAATTCAGAAGTGAGGTCATGTGATATTTTAATATCCTGAAACATTCGACCAAGTTTATTAATTTGTTCAGCTGGCATTCCAACTTCCTGAAAATACAATTTTTTCGATAGAAAAAATAAAGTCAGTAAATTAACGCACATAGAGAGAGAGGACTTATGATTAAATAACTCAAACTAAATTCTATCCTTTCAGTATTCATAACTTAATTTTGCAAGTGATTCATTGTTCAAACTTAAGGAATTAAGAGAAAAATACTCCCAAGATATTCAAACATCCATGATAATAGTTAATCGTCGTCAAAGTTATTATACCTTGCATCATTAGTAGAGTAGTATATGAAATTAACAATTAGATAAGAAGTAAAGAAGATTAAATGATATTAACTTTATTGAACACTACAACACGAGAATTTATCATACAAAAGGAAAAAAATGAAATTGAAGAAAATAAAGTAAGGAATGTTATTTAATTGAAGATTTATAAGAACAAAAAGAAGAAATGTAAAATAATTACAAGAGAGTTTAAGAACTAATCGTTTCATTCCCCAGAATGGATGATATTGTTATTATCATTATTATTACTATGCATAGTTAGATACTTTCAATTAAACAGCGAATTATTGATTCAGTGATCCTTGAATATAACACGAATTAAACAACTGAATAAAAGATTCAATATTGAATAAGTCCAGTTATTTTGTGCGGAAGATTTTATATAAATAGATAATTTCATATTAATAGACATTCACATTGTAACAATAGATTATATAACGTAGTGGCCATGTCCTCAACTTTTTATAACAAGCTTCACAACAATAACTAAGGAAGAGAGGTGGAATTGGACTAATGATAAAGTAGGTATCATTACCAAGGTTTGATTTGATAATTTCGAATAAATTGAGCATTGGGTTGATAGTTATAAATAAAAATAATATATTTGTAATATCCCAATGAGTAGAAAATTAGATTTTCTGACGTTTCGTGACCTAGTGTAAGTCACTTCTTCAGAGAATAAATAACCAAATTAAAATTAATCCAAGTTTAAATAGTACAATGGAACAATGCAAGAATAATATGATAAAGTGATATCATAATTGAATATTGAGACCCGGTACGAACCTATTTTCGTGTACGTAAACAACAGTTACAGAATCAACTCGTGTATAATAAAATCACAAGTCTTACATAACACTTAGTTTTTAGCTGTTCGTACATTTCTTGTTTAGTTCTGAAGGATTCAGTTAGTTATCAGTCACGTGTAGTGATCTCTACTCGAACACAACTAGTAGAGTGACAGCTTATGGCGAACTGCCATCAGAATTGATTACCTCAAGTGATCTTCGTCAGGACTGTCCACTCTCTCCATTCTTGTTTAACTTTGTCGTTGACGGGCTTTTAGAGATAACACTTTCCTCATCCAAATTTCCAGGAGTTGAACTTACACCGTGAGACTCACTTGTTGACTTAGAATATGCCGATGATATAGTTCTGTTTACTGAAGACGCCGACAAAATACAGTCTTCTGACCACTCTAAACAACAATGTAAGTGTTTGGGATGCGATTCCCCCTCTCGAAATGCAAAATGTTACTTCAGGATTGTACTGCATCGATACCCGAACTAATGATAGGGAGTGAAGTAGTTGGGCGTGTCGATCGCTTCACTTATCTAGGGAGTCTTATCAGCCCTTGCGATCTGCTATTTGACGAAATTTCAGCACGGATACAGAAGGCTCGACTAGCTTTTGTCAACTCACATCATTTATGGCGTAGGCGAGATATCCATCTATCAACCAAAGAACGGGTTTACTAAGCAGCAAATCATTCCGTCCTACTTTATGGCAGTGAAACATGGCCGGTAAAAGTAGAGGATATTCGTAGGTTACTAGTATTCGATCATATGTGTCTTCGAAGCATTGCTCGTATATCCTGGGAATACCTAGTAATTAATGCAGTTGTTAGGAAGCGGGTACTAGGTAAGGATGGAAAATCAATTGATGAAGTGGTAAAACTTCATCAGTTGAGATGGCTGGGACACGTGTTACGTATGCCCAACGACCGACTGCATCGACGTGCTATGTTCAGTGGTATAGGAGCAGGTTGGAAGAAAGCTAGGGGCGGCCAGACCAAAGCATGGCACAAGTCCATGAAGTCACTGACAAGTGGACTGAGTCATGTTGCTAGGTTTAGACTACCTGGTTGGGGACCGCGAGATGATAGCAACCGATGGTTAGAGACCCTGAATAACATGGCTCAAAATCGTTTGCAATGGCGCAGGTGCATCCACTCTTTGTGTTCTCCCAAATTTTGATCTCCTGATTCCTCCTTGTCTCTTTTTTTCTCTTCCCAAATTTATTTCACTGGATTATACTCCTTGAATAATATATTCAAACCCTAATCTTTCTGATTACTGCATATACACTTACTACCTCTACCACTAAAGGATTTGAATGGACAATTGTATCTCTGTACTAATGTTGTAAGACAACTTGAACTGATGTACGTACGTAAGAAGTACTACGTTGTTGCTGACTGATGTGCAGTGTAGAATCTCACGCAAACGTGCATCGGTTCAAGTTGCCATTCCACATTAGCACGGCGAGATAGAATTATCAAGACCGGGACTATGGGAGACTGAGATCAGTTCGGTTATCAGACACCAGCTAAGATTTCACCCAATCTAACTGCTAATCTTGGACCAACATCCTTAAAAACGTCAGGGGTAATCCACCACGCTCCACTATCCTCTCTCGCTATAGATTGCCTATAGGCCTTTCCAATCTCACTATAATTTGGAGGACCTATGTCAATTTGCTATTTAGGTTACTTGGAGATGGTGGGTGACTGAGAAGTAACTGAAGGCTGGTTGAACTGTCCCCTAAGGTTTTGTTCATAGGTCCAATCTCCTTGATTGAGAATGAATAATAAACCCAACTTTTTCCGAGATAGTCTCACTAAAAGCCTGATTTTTGTTAAATGTTTCTCTCATAAATATGAATAGTTGTGTACTGTTACTTATTATAGCTGCCTTCCCAATCTCCTTTGGTTTCGCTATCCCCTACAATCAACGATTATTTGCGGACTCCTAACAGGTACTATAGGCAATATTTGATAAAGTGATTTTGGGTAACCATATGAACCCCGACTGTTGCTGCTACCTTGACGTGGTGATCGGGCTTGCCTATCGTGATGAACTAACTAGGCTATACTGGCTGGAACAATCGTTCTTCAAGGTTGAAGAACGGCAAGACTAAAAGCAGTAAACCCATGTCCAAGTGAGAAGTCATACTGCTGACTGTACAGAAGTGTGATGGCAGTAACAGTGATGCTGCCTTCCGACAAAGAGGGTTGGGGTTGGAAACGGTCTACCCTTAAAATGCACACCTCACCTTATCCCACGGATATCCGTCTCCGGTGGTAAGGTATCAACAAGTACGGAGCTAACACGAAAATTATTCACAAAAAGGTCGTGTGTGACTGACCTCAAGCAGTTATCCCTTGAGCACTGCGGTCACGCTCTCAGGTCACTAAGGCCACCTCTAACCCAATTTCCTTTTAAAGTACCTCCAGAAGAACCCTTCGATAGCGTGGGCAACCGGGAAGTGATAACTGCCCTCATACCTATAACACTCAAGAACCAAAATAACCAACTGAGATCAGCAAAAATCTCAATTAACATCAAAAAATGACAACAGTTTGGTTTGTATAAACATACTCGTAAACGTCCAGCCATTAATTCTTCCATTTCATTATCAGCTGATGTTTCTAGAATTAATCGTCGAGTGAGATGAGATTTATGAACACGCATGAAAATATCTTTACTATTGACATATTTTAATACTAATAAAACATTGCGTAATTTTTGTTCAATTTCATCAGTTGTTAAACGACGATTAGTTGGTGACTTGCGAAGTAACATATCACAATAAGACGCTAACAATTCAGGACAACGAGATTCTACACGTGAAATACCGCTACTGAGAAAGTAATTCAAAAAAACAAGAATAGACAATAGATATACAGGTGTGGTGTTTGAAAAAAGTTAATTTGAATTTTTAAAAATAACTGTTAATTTTACTGTAAACATTCAACTTGAAAAAAAAAATTATGCTTCGTTACCTGTATTTTAACTCTATCAAGGCACGTAAATAATTAAAGATTATCAAATTGCGTGAAAAACTTGTGGTTATCGTTTGACAATATTCCTTTTTGATTTGTTATTTTAAAAGGTATTATTGTTATCATTATTTCAACACATAAACATCGATACAAAGGGGGAACCAAAATATCGTTGGTTTTTTACGAAGGTTGAAATACTGTCCGGGTGTTCAAGTCGAAGCAGGTGGTTTACTTAGGGGGCCGATCCTCAAGTCTTTGACTCAGATGTCTAATCCACAAGACAGTTGAGCGACGTTACGAGTTGCAGTCCTACATGGTGGCGGCTGACCAACAATAGGCTCATACGCCATTTGTTCTCTTAGGATATTTGGGGCTCCCAAATGCTCTCACATGGTCACGCGTATATAGCCTCCGCCAGGGAAGTCCTACTGCCTGCCTTCCTCCTGGCGACTGCGTTGTTTACGAAATTGAGAGGACGAAAAGCGAATTTACGGCGCTTTAAGCGGGTTGGTAGACACGGAGAGTTCATCTAAGGGAGTTGGAAAACCCTGATTCCAAACCAATGGTGCACATGGGCTCCAGCACCCTGAGAGAACAAATGGCGTATGAACCAATCGTTGGTCACCGGCTGCCATGGGACTGCATCTCCTTACGATGCTCCACTGCCTTGTGGGTTAAACCTTTAGGTCGAAGGCTCCGGGTGTGGCCCCCTAAGAAAACTACCTGCTCCGGTTTGGGCTCCCGGGCAGTATCACAACCCTCACACATATCGAATGAGATTTGGGTGGCGTATATGTATTTGATGCCTCCTTGTACCAGTATTTATTTGTTCAAATAAATAAATAATAAATAAATAACTCTTAGGATCCTAGAGCCCACGTGGACTATTTGTTTGGAATCAGGGTTTCCCAACTCACCTAGATGGATCCACCGTGTCCACCAAACCGGTTAAAGCACCGGACAATTGATTTTCGTCCTCATAGCTTTGTTAAATATAGAATGATTTTATAATATATTTATAATGGTAGCTATGAAACTCAAATCTCCAGTGTTATCATAATCTTTAAGGTCAAGTGAAAAAATCTAAAGTACACAACCGTTAGCATTTTTTCCATTTTTTAAAAATAAATATCTTAGCTTTAAAAGATAAAACTCTCTTTTTTGTTCATTTTAATGTGATGCTAGTTTTGTATACAAAGAGATAAACAATTTAATGTACTTCTATTTGTTATGGTTTAATTAAACTAATATGTAACAGGCTTGCAGATGTATTTACTGTAACTGACCAATACAATAGTATCAATATACAACAGATCAAAATAACACTCTGGTATATTATTTCTCACAATCCGAAATTGCTTAAACCGTAAGAAAAAGTCACTTTTTTATTGGTTATCATTAACAAATGGTGTAGAAAATGTTAATATACATCCTTTTAGAATGATTGATAGTAAACCGATAATGAGAAAATTGTATCGCTATAAACCAATACTAATGAGTATTAATAAAGAAATGTTTTTATTTGAAGTTGTATTTATTGAGTGCCTATTATAATCATCTTTTTCAATCAGTCAAGCCAATATCTTGTGCAAATTATTAATTTTAATAAACTGTGAACATGAAGTACAGTTTTGTCAATAAAACTACTTTTAAATATATGAATTTACAAAATAAACAACTGATTTTATTAGCAAAGACTTCTATGATCACTGACTGAAGGCAATAGTTTCAAAATTCCGCTTGAGAAACCAAATAATTAGGTGCGTTTATAACTTCGATTTTCTCAGAAGTCTCATTAATTAACCTAAGTAAGTTGAAGCCTGATGAAACCCTAATACGAATGCAAAACACCAACTAGACTTTTTTTAAATTGCAATACCTGTGATACAAGCAAAATATCCATCTTCCTACCATCAAAGAAAGATTATACTTTCCAACAGGTTGTTTTGTATTCTTTTACTGGTGTAAAAAAATGATTACAGATGTCACTGAAGCATTGTTGGCGTACAATGTTATAGCCGAGTGAGCAATGATGATGCGAAACACTTGGTACTAGGTAAATATGTCAAATCGATTTATGTGAATCTTCATCAGTTGAGACGGCTAAAGAATATGTTAAACATGCCCAACCATAAACTATCTCAACAAACAATACTGTTTGACGTAGAACAGGATTGGAAAAATTCTATGAGTAGGAAAATAAGGAAGCGATATCAGGGCAAGAAATGATTGATTAGCGAACCAAGACGTGTGAAAATACAGACGTTTCAGTTTTAATTCATGTAATAATCATAATAAACGACTGGAGATCTTTAAAAGTTGAATTGGCTCGAAAATCGGTCATTCAGTTTTAACTTCTAAGTTGTAAGCTTTAAAAGGATATCATACTTTTCATACCACGAATACATTACTTCTTTTCGAATCATACTACTTACATTACGGGAACTACCGTTAATTTCACTTTCCTGTTTATCACCTTTCGATTCCATTTTATCATGTTGATGTGATGTAACAACCTAAGCTTATGTCCTGCTACTACTACTCTACGACGTCTGGACAGAACTCGTTCAAATTACACAAAACTTTAGCATATTATGTAAACAAGTAATGTGGTAATCAGTTTGAAGTGAAACTACTAGTTACGTATTGTAAGAAATAAATTATGAGTTTGACTGTGTATCATATCAATGTTTTTAAGTGAGTACTTAACTGTTGACACAAGAATTGATCATTTACGATAAATATTAACAACTATTATTACTCTACAGGAAAATATTTATTATTAATTATTTGTTACTATTGAAGAGCTTACCAAACAGAAGTTGGAATTTCAGTCACAAAAACTGATGTATTATTTACAATGTCTTGATAAGCTTTGTCACGTGCAGTTAGAAAATGTGGATCATTATTGAACGCATCATTGACCATACGTGAAAAACGAACGTATAAATTTAACAAACGGCATACATATTTATCTGCATCCTAAACATGAAAGAGAAGAAACGAAATCATCAGAAAAGCGTAAAAAACAAGTTAAGACGTTTGATTAAAATCGTGAACCGAACTAGGTTAAACTGCCATTGAAAACCTGGAAGCACTGGACGGCCATTTTGAGCTAGTACAAGTCCTCCGAACAATGAGCATCCACGTGGGAATCAAACCCAGGATCTTTGATCTCGCGCAATGATCCAACTTAGATAGGCTTACGATTTTAATTAAATTCAACAATCTCCACAACACTATATGATGTGACCATAATTTGTGGAAGACCTTTCAGTGACGCTAAACTGACCTTGTGAGTGTCCACCTAATAACCAAGACCAAATGAGCGTTATGAACCAGCGTGAGGAATTAAAATTATGATTTACAGTTGATGATTAAGGTTAAAAATTAGATTTAGAGTTTTCATCACGAAATGACATCAGTTATAATGTCAAAACTATATTTAGACAAATGGATGAATGAATTTCGCGCCAAAATCTGAAACTGTTATCTTATACGTGATTGGTTCGTTCATAAATTATAGTCTCGCCCCCTACACATAAAATTTGTAGAAATAAACCGTACTTTTAGTCAGAAACTCAGTTTACAGAATACCAGTATTTAAAATTGGAAAATAAACAAAGAATATCGGACCAAAATAAGGCATGCTAGTAAACTAGACAAAGTTACGTTCCAGAAAAATGTGGGTATACCGAATAAACTACTCATGTAGAGCTAGTTATGTAGGCAGTACTCATGAAGATATACCGGTATAGTTAGAGGGGTGTCAAAAATCTATTCGCAATGCCACGCTTTCAGAATTGACAGATAGTGAACGTTATAATAAGATAGATGAAACTTCATCTGTTTTGTATTGTTAGGAATATCACTTCTCTATACTAACTGCACATCAGGATAAACTCTAAAGATCTAATATATCCAAAAGAAGTGTGTTAACTCTCTGTGTTTACTTTTGTCAACAGCCGGATTATCAAATACCTAAATTGGACACTGTAAGGCCCTTTTACCCACGTTTATATTTGCTCTCTTTCATTCTTAGTTTACACATCTATCTCTCCCAATTCGAAAAGGGTTTTAATCATAATTACCCTGGAAACACCCCGCTTATTATAAAGTATAATCACACGACGTTATCGTCATTATTATTTACATTAATCAGAACAAATCCACCTATGATACACTTTATTCGCATGATTGATTTTATAAGTATATTGATTTTAACTTGACACCTTACGATGTACCGTCCTAATCTTTTGTAAACGAACTTTCACCTTTTTTAAAATATAACATTATTTAGTTTAATGATGTATGCCATATTTTGACCTTTCTAATACAACAACACAATAATTATGAACTAAGTGAACCTGATGAAGTTACAGAAAGCAAGCATTAGCCTCAATATTCTTTATTTTTGAGTATATTCTATGAAGATGTCTGAACTGTTGAAAAATAACAAACTAAATATCACATTTAATAATCTTGATGTAAGTTTTACCATATGATCTTACTCATATTTCGAAACATTTGAAGGGATTTCTCCGTCGGGCTTATATTTTATGTAAAGATACTGAGTGCTTTTAGCACTCACCAACTCGACACGTACCTTCACTACTTATGGATCCTCTATATATAACTTAGTATCCTCTACTGTTTTCGACTATTCTTTCTTGAACTTTTAAGGAAGAAACTTCATTATGTTGAAGAGTGTTGAAGGTAATTAGTAAAGTGTGTGTACAATGAATCTATTGATGTCATTATTATGCATATGATTGTAGACAGACATTTTAAAATCATGCAAACAACTGACAAGTGTTATTTTATCTGATTAAAATTAACCACTTCATCTAAATTTCTCTGCCTAGATATATTCTGGTAGAATGAAACATATGTACACTATAATTCGTATACACAAAAGTAGATACTAATATTTCTGCTATACCGTGTATACCACAGTTAATATACAAAAAACATGTTATGTTATAGCTTAATTTAACCAAGAACCTATACTCTTGAATATGTCAACCATTCACTATTGTGAAGAGTCTGTTACACACATCTTCACTAAAGCTATTTTCATTTTCAGATAAGCCAAACGGTTTTCCTACATAGTTGAGCGGAGGTTAAACAACAGTTGTAACTACTACCATGATTTATAATCACTAGTCTCCTTATGAAACGTGAAATTCATGATGAATTCACTTTGAGTGATTGAACGAACAACAAATAAGTTCGTGTAGTAGTTAATATGTCATAAATATTGTGCACGTGAGAAATAATACTGCTTTCATGAAACACAAATTGAATTTTAACTGGGAATTGACTTCAGAAAGATCTAGTCATTTGGCAACGATAAACAAAACTGTGTAACTTGATTAAGAATATTAATTGGTTATTCGAACTCCGTTTCAACAATTCCCGTCTAGTTTGAATCCTTAGTTCACAAACTAGACGCACAAACCAATGACCTACAATCTGATTATTATTTGTATGGATTAATTTTTTCTTGTTGTTGATGACAAAGACTACAAATAATCAGTCGCTAGATATATAAGTACATCCTAGGCAAATTGAGCCGGTATTGTCATTTATCCATCAGCAAAAGAGGTGTCAAACTGATGAATTTCATTGATCAAACTTGCTTACTACAATACATATCAGAGTTTCGCATGCTGTCACCTAGTATTCACATCGAATGGTACTTTTTACAGTTACACTTATTTAACATGGACATGAACACAGATGTAGGTACATTCAGTTGACGAGCCCAAAATAGGACGAGACGCGCTTCTTGGATTCTAAAATTGACCATACAACAAATATGTCACAACGATAGTTAAGAGTATTTGAATAAAAAACCGACCTGATGTTAGATCACTATATATGCAAACCAAAAAGCAATACTTCATTAAATTTGTAAATAAAAAAGTGTTGGTTAGAGTAGTTAACTGATACAGTTTGGATTTTATTGATTATGAAGACACAAAAAAGGACATTTGATTAAGAAAATCTGAACTACAAAAGATTTTCAAAATCCAATAATTAAAATCCAAGTCAAGAAAAATGTAGCAAGGAGAAACTATTTTCAAGAGGTATTACACAGTCTTCAGTCTGACTTAGATAATATACACATTATTACAGATTGACACGTCTCGCTACGCAACTAAGGAAAACCAAAGAAACTCTAGTGGAGATTGTAATGAAAATAAATATAAAAATCCACATAAAAACAATACGTAGGTAAACAAACTACCTGGCAACAAGGAAATTTCTTAGTTGAAATACACATATATACTACAAAATTTAAATGAAAAAGAAGTGTATTATAGCATTAGAAGTTAACTAACTTTGAGCATAATCTCTGCATTAGTGCGTATATCCTTCAAGCCTGTTTGTCGAATATATTCCTCCAGAAGTACTAATAAGCGGTCAATTTCTTGTGGAACTCGATTAACTAATTCATAGCACAATCTTAGCTGGTTTGTATCTTCTTCATGCAACAGTCTTGGAACTTCTGAGAGTATATGGTCCTAAATGGTTTCAATGTATAATAATGTGATGTGAAAATATACACTACTTTAAATTAATAAGTAGTCGGAACACATATTGCTAAAACTAGGTATGTGGATTGATTAGAATTTCTAAAACGTCATTTACCGTTCACCAGGTTACGAAAAAAAACGATATTAACTGACAAATTTCCGCACCATTTTTTCGACGGATCTAACTACCTTTTACGAGAGGTCTTTATACATTGTCTGTTACTGTAACAGGAATCGAACTGATGGAAACTGTTTACTAAGACACTTATCAGAGAATTTCTTGTATTATGACCTAGTATTTATATCGAATGTTAGTTATCACCCCTATCTACTAACCATGCTCATATTCAAATTCGTCATGAATACACACTTGATGGTAAGGTAATCATTGCCTAATTTCATACAGCCCTTCATACACTGGCTGACAAGGTTTCACGTATATGAAAAGTTTTTTCCAATCCCCCTACGAAATATGATATCTGAAAATAAATCTGAGCCACTGACTAGATGAAGTGCAACGATTAAAGTTGCTGAATTAGATTATATATATATATATATATATATATATATATATATATATATATATATATATATATATATATATATATATATATATATATATATATATATATATAACGGTAAAGATATATATATCCTTACGCCTGTTACCCCTCATAGAAGAGCATAGTACACTCAATAGCATTCTCCATCCAACTTTGTCCTGGATAACCCTTTCCAGTTGCCATTCATCCTTTTTATGTGGTCCCCCAAATGCCTTGGAACGGCCGGGGGTGGGAAGAGTCAGCTCTCCCTCTCCAAGTGCTCTCACATGGCCATGTGTACACAACCAACGCCAGGTAAGTCCTACTCACTGACTTCTCGTGGTGACTGCGTTGTTTACGAAATTGAGAGGACGAAAAGCGAATTTACGGCGCTTTAATCGGGTTGGCGGACACGAAGGATCCACCTAGGAGAGTTAGAGAACTCTGATTCGAAACCAATGGTGCATATGGGCTACAGGTTCCTGAATGAAAAAATGGAGCACAAACCAATTATCGGTCACCTTCTACCATAGGACTGCATATCCTGAGGTTGCTCCATTGCCTTGTAGACTAGACATTTAGGTCGAAGGCTTCGGGTGTGGCCCCTAAAAAAAACCATCTGCTTCGGTGCACCGTGTTCTTTGGCCTTCATCTTTTCCGTTTCCATTTAGAATTCCAAGTAAGCGCTTGTCTCATGATGCAGTCCGATGATTTCCGAAATGTATGTTTCATCCAGTCCCAACATCTTTTCTTAATTTCCTCTTCAGTTGGAAGCTGAATTAATCTCTCCAACAGTAGGCTGATACTTATGGTGTCCGAACAACACACATTCAGTATCTTGCGTAGACAATTATTTATAAATACTTGTACAATTTTGAAGACGGTTGTGGTAGTTTATCCACGTTTCAGCTCCTTACAGTAGATCAGTCTTGACGTTCGTGCTAAAGATTGAGACTTTGATACTGGTTGGCAGCTGTTTCGAGTTCTATGTGTTCTTCAACTGTAGGAATACTGTCCTTGCTATGCCAATCCTCGCCTTTACGTCTGCATCAAATCCTCCACGTTCATCAACGATGCTGTCCACCTACATGAAAGATTCCACATATTACGCAGGTTCTCCATCAAGTGTGATTGGGTTGGTATTCTCTGTGAAGAATTTGAGGCTCCTGCTTCTTCCTTTGAGTATGTTGAGGCCTACTGATGCAGAGGCTGCTGCTACACTGTTTGTCTTGACCAGCATTTGTTGATGTGTATGGGATAGAAGAGCTAGGTCATCTACGAAGTCCAAATCGTGTAGTTGCATCCAATCTGTTCTTTTTATTCCATGCTTCTCCTTAGATGTAGAGGTCTTCGTAATCCAGTCAACCACCAGAAGAAATAAAAAGGTGGAGAGTAAGTAGCCCTATCTGATTCTGATGTTCACTTGGAATGCATCTGTCATCTATCCTCCATACACCACTTCCCAGAGTTGTCCGACGTATGGATTCTGAATGATGTTGACGATTTTCTCAACTACTCACATCATAGTGTCGAAGAAGTTTCCATAATGTTCTCCCATACACACTGTCAAACACCTTCTCATAGTTAAGGAAGTTGATCTATAGTGACGAGTTCCATTCAATCGATTGTTCAACAATGATCCATAGTGTCGCGATTCAGTCCGTGCACAATCGATCCTTACGGAATCCAGCTTGTTGATCTTGAAGTTGGGCGCCTACTGAGTCTTTCATCCGGTTCAGCGACACTCTGTTGAAAACACTTCCTGGTGCTGACAGTGGTGTGATGCCTCTGTAGTTCTCACATTTGCTCAGATCTCCTTTCTTTGGCATTTTGGTGAGGTGTCCTTCATTACAGTTCGTCAGTGGCACTTGTTCTTCCTCGCAAATACTCCTCAATAGAACGTGGAGCATCTTTGTAGCTACTTACACATTTGACTTCAGTGCTTCAGCTGGTAATGTTGTCAGGTCATGTTGCTTTCCCACTCTTGATTTGTCTGATGACCACCCTAATTTCTTCGATCGTTGGTGGAGTGACATCTATAGGAAGGTCTGTAGGTGCTGCTTCGATGTGAGGCAGATTCAACAGAGCTGGCCAATTCAAGAGTTCCTCGAAGTATTCCACCCATCTGTTCCTCTGATCTTGCATCTCGTTGACTAGCTTGCCTTCTTCGTCCTTAAACGGTCTCTCTGGTTTACTACATTTCCCTGACAGTTTCTTCGTCGTGTCATATAGTTGTTTCATATTTCCTTCTCTTGCAGCTTTTTCCGCTGTCGTTGCTAGGTCTTCCATGTATTTTGCTTGTCGGCTCGAATGCTCATCTGCACCTGCTTGTTTGCTTCTGTGTATTCAAATTGTGCCTCGACTTCTTCTGTTCTTGTTCAGCTGTTGTTAATTACTGTCTTCAAGTTCTTCATTTCTTGGATCTTGTCCAGGATTTCCATAGAGATCAATTCCTTATAATGACGCCTCTTGCGGTCCAGGACCTCCGGACACGTTGAAGTCAGTGCATCTTTGATCGCTTTCCATTTTTCCTCCATAGTAGTTTCCTCTTCCAGTAGATCCGGTGAGGCTTGTAATTTGTTGTTGGGAGTTATATTGAATTCGTTGAATTTGTCAGTATGTCGGAGTGTTGTATTGAACCTTTTGTAATGCTGTTTGTCCAGTTGTCTAATGCTTTTTTAGCTTCAGTTTCACCTTGGCCACAACCAGGCGGTGATCTGAAGCTATGTCGGCTCCTCTCCTAGTTCTCACGTCTTTCATTGACCTGAATTACTAAGCAATGCAGATATGATCGATCTAATAATCTATAGTGTGATCCGGTGGGACCCATGTAGCTTTGTGTATGCGTTCGTGGGGGAATGTTTTGGCGCTTATAACAAATTTATCGAATGCACATAAAATTAGGAATCGGTCGCCATTCTCGTTCCTTTCTTCTGGTCTATGTAGTCCCATGATATCTTCATACCCGGTGTTGAACATTCCGACTTTGACATTGAATTATATATTTTTACCATGGACTCTCTAATCTCACTCACTTTTTTAGTTGTTTTTTTTTTCATTAAGCTTTTACACTACAAGTTATATCCCTTTCTACACATTGAATAATATACTTTTTCGATATGCTCATTTATTATGCAAAATTATCATCTGTTTCGATTTATCTATTCCATGAGAAATGATTGGTGTTTAGTTAAACAATCGCTTTTGATAAAAATTAATTCATACTATAGTTTTAATACTAAAAAACGAAAAACCAGCAACTTTTCAAATCTAGTAAGTCTAATGTAAGCAAGGTGTGTGAAAGTATAAGTTAGGCAACAACAAAAAGGGTGATATTTCTATATTACATAAATCTGTATGTAACCAATGAAGAATGATACGGAAATTTGCAGAGAATAGTCTATACAGTCAGCAAGTGAATAGACAATCCATAACGGTGAAATATCGAACCAGTAATCTACTAATTGTAAAAATAAACTGTCTATGACATATGAATGGTACCAGGTGATTTGAATGGACTATGATGGAAGGCAGAGAGTATATAAATGATTTAAACGATATATATGTACATATTGCTTGTGGTCATTTATCTCAGTATAAAATACTGATGAGAAAAATACATATCAATGTAGAAAATCGGCGAAAAACTTACCATATAGTCGACTACAAATGTCTTGAGGCATACTTTCATTAACTTAGGGACGGAATTGAATTCTGGCTGAGTTTCTAAATATCTTACAGCTCGAGTCTCTTCTTCAGCTAATTTCTGCAAAGCGTATTGCATGTAACTCTGTATTTTTTAATAAACAATATATATTAATCATAAGGAAACAAGATAATTTGAAAGTATTGACGGGGGATGATGCATATAATTTATACGATAATATACAAATATATCTACTACTGATCCCGTGTGAACTTTTCAAACACGATTCGAAATTGCGTGGAAGAAATAAGCTAGGAATTATGAGAAGCATTTGAAAACAAACTAGATTCACTTTTGTATTGGTTGTTTGAGTCTTCGTATTGATGTTTGGGGTTGCAGTTGATCATTCTATTGGTATATGTGCATCCTGTGGGGATTGCTTCGATATTGGCCGAAGTTATAAGCATGATAAGCAGAGTTGGATGGTGGAGTGAACATCAACTGTGGGATGCAGGTATATCCAGCTGACGAGTCCCAAATAGGACGAAAGGCACGTTTTGGATCCCACTGCTAGCCACCATCCATCTCCGCTGAGAAAAATAAATTCACATTTATCAAGGATTAAATGTTAGCTACCTCTAATACTTTCCTAACCTGTGAAGAGCAATTTTTAGAAGGTATTACAATCTATAATTGTTTATTGAGTTTGCCAGTGGATAATAAGTAAATTTTCTGCTCATATTGTTGCTGATGTTGGTAAATAACAAAGATTATAGTAGGGACATTACTATTTTATTGTAACGAATTTGTTACTTTAATTCATAAAGTGAATCTGTTTGAGCATATTGTTGATAAACCCTATCTGAGGCAACAAGAATATAAGACGATTTTGAAGATTGTAGAATTTTTACAGTTCAATCCAGTAAGCATTATATGGCTGCTACGTCCTAATATGAGGCTTCTCAGCAGTGGTCATTTACAAACCCATCACTGGGGATCGAAACGGGGTTCCTTGGTATTGTGTAAGAATGCTAAACCTCTAGACAACTGAGCCAACATCCAATGGTGTTTATGTCTAACTTTGACCAATTCATGACACTGCGTGAACATCTTACACTGCCTGTGGTGGATAACTGTCTGATATTTGACATATCCGAAGTCCACTGGTCACAACCACTCATTTGAACTCCAAGAAGTACATCTTGAAGTTAATCACTAGTGATCATTTGGTATTGCAAAAATACTTATCATAATTACTATATATCCGACATTCAAACATAAAGACTATCTATAAAAAGGGTTTCAAACACTAAAGTATGTGTTCAGTTTGGGGTTGTGGAGATTGTTGAATTTCATTGAGACGACGAGCCGAACAATGTCAAGCCACCATTAGAAGCGCAATGGAAGATGGTTGCGCAACATCGTGGATTGATCGAAGTTACACATCAACACCGTTAGGTGCCAGTTCAATGGTCTGGATGTTAGACGTTCGCGTGAGACCAAAGGTCCCTCTCTGTTCGGAATCGTTGACGTGAACTCCTAAGTCCCATACTAAAACGAAACGGCTGTTCAGTGCTTCCATGTTTTTAATGGTGGTCTAACATTGATCGGTTCATGATTTCAATGAAATAAAGTATGTTATTCAAAGGCTCTCCTTAAAATGTAAAGCTACAATTTTACGTAGAAAAATACTTGAGAAATTTAGTGATAAAATGTAAAAAGAACTTATTTATTTCTGTTATCAATGGCAGAGATACTGTTGTGGGTAAATTAGTTTTAGTTAAAAATGCATTGAATGAGAATGACTATTGACTCTCTTACTAATTATTTAATATAAACCATTTACGAATTAGTCAGCTATATGCAGCATACTGACTGGGATACTTGTTCTTTGAGATCCCACCACACCAGCAGTAAAATAAGGTCCGAGGTCGAATTCTTAGAACATCATATCTCATCTTACCCTAAGGGTCTAACATATCAAAAACTCTCCATAAAAGTTTGAATATGACTGGACTTAAGGAGTTATCCCTTGGACTCTGGGGTCAAGCTCTCAGGTCTTCATGACCATTCCCTAACCCAGTTTCCTTTTCAGGCTCCTCAACAAGAAATATCTTTCCACGATGTAGGCAACAGGAAAACGACGACCGCCATCGTACCTCTAACAGCACCTGAGATCCTCATATTCACGATCAAATTCCTCTTTTACTTATTAAAATCGCTCCTGTCCCCACGACCAACCCTTCTCTTATGACTGTATCGCCATACGCAACCAAATTCAGTCTACAAGGTAGGCAATGTTGACAGATAAATTTCGAGTAATAATCCACTGCATTCAAATATTCATTCATTCGCGGTAACTTATATACGCTAAAGTGAATTTATCTTAACTTTTAAATAGATATTAATATTTCAGACAGTATAAGACTAATATATCATTTTTATCTTCCTAACAAATCACAAATAACGGTGACATTCCATACATATACCACATCTACTCATGTTCTTGTTAATTTTATTACATACAAGTATTTTATGTATGATTTGAGCGTGTCTGTTCGTTGTTTATTTCATTAATTGCATTATTAAGTCATATACAAGCCCATTAAAAGAGCCACATTCTATATTTGGTGTGACATTAACCGTATAGCTTCATCTGGCTGATTTACAAATTACGGTATACACGATGATAAGAATGTATAAAATATATTCTTTCAGTATAATTCATATTTGGTTTTTTACATTACTGCTGAAAAATAATCTTTATTGAGGTACTGTATACGAAATTAAATGAATGGAAAGAATAACATTTGTACGGAGTCAGTTGAAGGCTACAAGTTCATAGACTTTTGTAGATCCCAATAGTCGGTATATTTTTTTAAATGAAAAATATGTAGTCAAAAATCTTAATCTTCAATAATTAATATAACTTCGACAACTCATCCGCTAATCAAAACTGAACTTTTAAGATCATCTTTAAAGTTGATCATTTAACTACTGTTGTATGAAAATGACATTAAAAGCAAAATAATTATTTAAAAATTTTTTTAAAAAATTACTCCCTTTGATAAATTTCAGTAATCCAATGTGAAGACGAAGATTATCAGAATTATGTGATATATTTACGCAATACATTTCAAACAATCTTATCACGCATAGATTTGTTAAGAACATTTATGTACGAAGACACAAAAAGGTCATCTACACAAATTAAAAGGTAAGTGGAAACAAAGATAGTAACAATAAAATACAAAAAAACAATGTGAAAATTACGCTGGATAATAAACCAGTATTACCAAAGTTAAGGGTAAGAATATCTTCCTCCATTGCGAAACATTTGGTTGAGACAGGTCATAAGGTGGATATTAAGTCAACCTTTGCAGTTTGTACAACAGCGTTCAAGAACGCGCACTAAGGTTTATTGAAGCCTTGACTATAAGGAAATGGAAACCCCCTTTATGTGCTCAAAAACGATTTCCTCTTACTCTAGTAACACTGATTTATTATGTAGTGTAGTTCTTCAGATTGTTTTTGTGTATTTTATTGTTATTATTTTTGTTCCCACCGTTTACCACGACGCGCAATGCTGACTATTGTTGGAGACGGCTAGAAGAAATTTAGAGACGGCCAAACCAAAACGTGGCATCAGTCATTGAAGTCACTGACTTCTGGTTTGAGCCATGTTGGTAGACGCAGACTACTTGGTTGGAGTTCGAGTGACTATCGCAACCAATGGTTGGAGACTCTGGGTGACATGGCTCAGAATCGATCACAATGACGTCGGTGTATACACTCTTTGTTTTCCCTTAAAATATGAGATTAAAATTGCTCTATATCTTTCTGTCTACGAACCATTCTTTCTTCCTGTACTATATCCTTATATGCAATATTTCTTTTGTACATCACTACCATTGAAGTGACTACTTCTATGAATTTGGTGTTCATCTTTGTGTGCTAATGAGGTGTGGTAACTTGGGCGATGCATATTGTGCCTGGTCAGACTTGTTTCCGCCTACCTTTTAATTTGTGTCAGTCAGTCAGTCAGTAACAACGTAGAACTTCGCACGTACGTACATCAGTCCTAGTTGCCACACCACAGTAGCACAGAGATGCAGTGGTCGATTCAAATCCCGTAGTGGTAGAGGTAATAAGAGTATAAGCAGTAATCAGGAAAATTAGTGTTTGGAGATGTTATTTAAAGAGTATAATACAGTGAAATAAATTTGGGAAGAGAAAAAAAGAGACAAGGAGGAATCAGGAGATCAAAATTTGGGAGAACACAAAGAGTGGATGCACCTGCGCCATTGCAAACGATTTTGAGCCATGTTATTCAGGGTCTCTAACCATCGGTTGCTATCATCTCGCGGTCCCCAACCAGGTAGTCTAAACCTAGCAACATGACTCAGTCCACTTGTCAGTGACTTCATGGACTTGTGCCATGCTTTGGTCTGGCCGCCCCTAGCTTTCTTCCAACCTGCTCCTATACCACTGAACATCGCACGTGTGTGTAGTTGACCTTTTATGTTTTCATACATAAAATATCTTATCACGTATATGTGTGGTCAGACTGTTTGCAATGTATTACGCAATTATATCACATAATTCTGATCATCTTTGTCCTCTCATTGAATTATCGAAATAAAAAAATGGTTAAATAATTTATTCAATAAAATATATTTACAAAAAACTATTATTAATTAATTCCTGAGTAAGCAAACAATAATATGATTTCCATAATTTGAACAATTTCATAAATTACAAAATGAATTAACTATTGACTAGTATGATTTATTAGAAGTTGATATTCAAAAGGAAATAAGATATTTTGTATGGTATTTGGTGTTATAAAAGTTTGAAGGCTTAAAATTTCGGTTAGATTTGTATAGTTTAACTATAAGAAAGGCTAATAGTTAACAGTTAACCAGTGGAAAAAAATAAATGTTTTTCTTATCATCAATTGAGTCAATTTTTCGATGGAAGATGATGGACTAGCCTCGTTCTTTTGAACAGTGGATACATCAAGTTACTAAGAAATTTTATAGTGCAAATTTAAAGTACGATCTTGTGTTCTTTGATGTAAGGGTTGTGTTGGAGATCACTGTAGTGACCTTGAGGTGGAACCGCTGAGAGGAAGTAAACTGAATTATGAAGTATATTACACTCTACAACACGACCACTCCCTTAGTCTATCCGTGACTAACAAAATCCTGAAATCCATACGAAAATCTAATTGGGTTGTTACATACTTGTGTTAACCGTCACGCAACCAAATTAACTACTTATCTATCAGAAGGACAGTATATTGTTCAATAGTTTACTCTGTATAGTTTTACGACCGGGAGATATGACCTCTTAAGGTAGACGACATTTGTATGTCACTAAAAAATAAATCAACTCATTCACCAAGTATTCGGAAGCAAGTCATAATCTAAGTGTGAGGACTATTAGTACTACCTGATTGCCCAAGCCGAAGTAGGTGAGTGAGGCTGGGTTTTAACCCAGGACTTAGTGGCCGAAAGATGAACAACTTAACCACGAAGCCACCACTCTAATGTACTTCACTAGTAACTGATCGCATATCTCCTCAAAGTAGTGCTCGTATAAGGTGGAATAGTCAAGTAAGAAATAGTGAAGTTAGACATTGACTGAGGTAATTGGAGAATGAGTTACGGATCCCCACCCAACACCGGTTTGTGTAGGGGCGCGTTGGAAGTAAATTGGAGATGGCCAAAGTATAATGCAGCATCAGTCTATGAATTTATTTACTTTTGGTCTGAATAAGGTGGATGGGCGCATACTACATGTACGGAATCCGCGCAGTAACAGATGGTGATCGGTGGTCGAAATTATGTGACATGGTTCAAAATCGAATAGTAGTTAAGGAGATTCAATAAGGAATTGATTCTCCAAACTCGAATAAATGACTGGAACAGATATAGTTGATTGATTACTCATATCGAAATCGACTAATTTGAAGATACGAACTGATTATGTCAATGTACGTCAAGTTCGATCTAAACTATAACTAGATAGTTAAGGCTTATATCTCACAGCCTCGCTTTGTCTTCGAGAGTTTTAATACTGATTATAAAATGTATATTATCACTATTTTTTCACTTTTGCACTTACTCTTATTCCATGTTTCTGAATGTATTCATCTATACGTATACGATAAAAACTCTCTGTGCTTTCAATATATGCTTTTTCGAAATTATCCACATATATTCGAAAGGATTTTTCTGATAACGTAGATAAATTGACTAAAATAGGTAAAACAACAAAATACATATGATTTTCAAGCAAACTGAACAATAAAAATAAGTGATATGGATTAAAAACAAACTGGTGATTAAATTAGTAGGAAACGAATGTGAAGGAGATAACACATTTAATTTGCAATACTTAAGCATCGTAAAGAAGAGAACAGCAAATGTGGTATACATGGTTCCTAAAAATTTCTGAACAGAGGAGAAAAAAATAAAACCACTGTCTAGAATTACAAACATAAGTAATCACCAAAGTATGAGACTTTACAATATTCCAAGACTATATAAACTGAAAACATCAGATACATATTAGCCAACAAATATTTTAAAAAAAGTATTTTATTTGATAAAAATTACAACTGTAAGAGTCTAGAGCTGATTCGATCAAATATACAAGCTAATTTTAATACTGTGAATACGAAGACTTTTCAGTCGAATGACTAACTTCATGCGTATCTTCTACAATGTATGTTTCTTAACGTAACTCTACACGTGATCTAGGGCATTTGTCGTCTAACGTGAAAAACACAAATGTGTAAAGTATGAAAGAGAGAAATACAGAAGTCATTTTGATAAGACCAATGTCGCTTATCCATTCGCAAAAAGAATCAGATCAGTTTCCTGTCAATTTATTTATTCTATCGACGTGGCATTCAACAACGTCAAAGACTCAAACGAACATGACCCGAGACCATATATTTCGCAAAAAGAAGAGGGAATCAAGAAAGAGAACAAAGTTTCAAGTTGAAGTCTCCTCTAAAGGAAACCCTACTCAAGTGCATCCAAATCATAAGAAATAAGTAACATGATGAAGTGGAATACATAACTCAATAATTTGGTTACATCTGTTAGCTGAAACATGTTGATCTAATGATTTTATAAATTGTATACACACATTAAACTATTGATTAGCTTCTAGTTCAATCCATTCAATTTACTGACCGAATAATTAAAATAATATATATACATAAACTTTCTTAACATCCACATTTTACTTATCCTCCACTAATTTGTTATTACGCTTAGAATTCATTTATTGACCGAATATTTAAAGTAATGCATTTTATTATTATTTTGGATTTTGTTTTAATCAATGGAATGTTCGTAGATAAATTCTCATCAAACAGTCTTGCTTTCTTCATTGTATCAAACCACCTCAATCTTGTTCCGTTGAACAAGTATCAGTTATCTTGCAGCCATAACCAAAGTAAATGCCAATAGCAGCATATCAACAATTAGTGTCAAGGAATAACACAGACAAATTCGCTCTTTAGCCTTCCCATGACATTGAGCTCCAGTATCACTTCATACACACTCTTCCAATTTGTAATTCTGATCTATATTTTCAATGTTCAGTTGTTTACTTTATTATTACTGCCATAATATTTTGATCTCTTGCTATTAATCTCGTTATCCTAAAGTAGTATGTTAACAAACAAACCATGACTTTGACAGCCTCTACATAGTTGATATTTTAACTAAATCCTTCGAAACGATTTGAGTACTTGTATATTAATAAGGCCCCCAAATGTCCTGGTATGGCCGAAAGTGGAGTGGGTCCGCCCTCCCTCTCGAAATGCTCTCACACGGCCCCACGTATACAGCCTCTGCCAGGGAAGTCCTACTCACTGCCTTCTCGTGGCGAGGGTGTTGTTTACGAAAGTGAGAGGACGAAAAGCGAATGACCGGCGCTTTAACCGGATCCAAACCAATGGTGCACATGGGCTCCAGTATCCTGAGGGAACAAATGGCGTATGAACCAATCGTTGGTCACCACCTACCATGGGAATACATCTCCTCACGATGCTCCGCTGCCTTGTGGATCAAACCTTTAGGTCGAAGGCTCGGGGTATTACCCCCTAAGAAAACCACCTGTTCGGTCTGAACACCCGGGCAGTATCACAGCCCACACACACAAATATGGTGTGGCGCATATATATTTGGTGCCCTCTTGTACCAATATTTATGTGTTGTAATAAAAAATAAAAAAGTATTAAAAGACACTGAGAGTTTTACTGATTTTGATAAGTGACTACTCAACTATCGGCCTCAGTTACTTGAGAGACGGTTGAAAATCAAGGTTAATAAACATCGATATCTTAGTTTTTCATGTTATAATACTTTACTGTCGCCTTGTAAAACAGAAGCACTATTCACTTAACATAATGAGACAAATATAAAGATATCTCAATGGGAAAACTGTTTAACGCGAGTCAATACGTTTTCTGTGTTTACTATGCTAACAGGACTAAACGAAGAAGACGATTCGACGTAGTCCTCTTAACGACCACAGATAAATTTAGCATAACCTTTCATCCAATTTCTAAAGAGATAGTATTTCTTTGAAGGGAATGAAATTATGGTGATATGCAAAAGAGGAAATACCATAAGAGTAAAACGAACAGATTATTTGCAGATAATCCTTTTTTGCCATAACGGTACATAAAATAAGAAAGGCTCTGTGTATTTGGTCTGATGGAACAAGTAATCTTGTTTTCTGAAAAGTAGTGCTATGAAGAATACCTTATCCATAATTGCCAAGTGGGTGTAGCGATTAGCCAAATGATTAGTTCAACTAAAGAACTGCAATAAACAACCATACAACCCAAAACCAATTTAACATGTACACAGATGAAATGTTTGCACTTTAAAAACCAACTAATCTTGAAGCTTTTTCAAAAATGATTGGTGATTTTGAAAAAAACAGTATACTTCGAGTCCTTATTTTAAGTGGGGTTTCACTGGCAACCATACAGCTTTAGTCTTTATAAAATTCACGTTATACTACATGATATTTCAGTGAGACTATAATTTATGGAAGATCTTTGAGCGACACTAAAGTGACTTTGAGAGTTTCCACATACTAACTGAGGTCGAATGAGGGTTATAAACTAGTGAGAGATTAAGATTAATATTTACAGTTGATAGTTAGGGTTAGGAATTATATTTAGGGTTTCAATCACGAACTAGCAGCTGAAATGCCGAAACGCTATTTAGACAAATGAGTGAATAAATCTCGCGCCAACGTCTAAGAGATGTTACCTTAAATCTTGTTGGTCTGTCCATAAATTATAGTCTCGCCGATAGTTCTACTGCATTTTATTTCTGAGGAAGACACACATTTATGATGCGTGATCAACAAAGTGAAGCGACTTCATGTGTCAGCTTCCCCCCGAGACGTGTTAGCATAATACGGTCAGACTTATTAGTGAGAGAATAAATACAAAAGATTCAGGCTCAGAAATTATTAGAATTAATGTACATGACGGCATACGGAGGAAGAAGAAACATGTGGTTAATACATGTCAGTCAGAAATCAGATTTTAAAAGATCCTACGATATTAATCACCAAAAAACGTTACATGGTTCAATAAAGAACAATACAAGAAACGTGAGGTGGTAGAACACTTACCACAGGACTCACGAACACCTATGACGAGCTGTGAATCAATAACCTGACCACATCTCTCATCTTGTATAAGCTTAATAGCACTGTCCAGAAGCTTTTGCTTGATGGATTCGTAGATCGTACTGTTCCACGTTTCCAGCATCAGCTAAAATATAACTGAATTTCATACTGCAAGCTACTTTTCTAATAGTACTTTCTTGAAGATGACGTTTGTTGGGACCGTTAAGATGCTTACCAACCAGGTAGTTTTCTAATGGACTAAATGGTTGTGGAAGATATTCGCTTTGTTTAGAAAATTTATTCCATTGAGCTATGTATGATTTTAACAATGAAGATTCATCTTGATTACGCATAACAAGCTAAAGTTGAAATCCTATAAACGAGAAGTTATTACCTGCTGAACTCTCATAATCGATTCCTTAACAGTTTCTGTAAGAGAAGAAATGATGGCGGCTGTTGCTGATTCTTGCCATGAGACGATATAATGTACATCTCTAAACAATAAACATGAGGTAAAATCCTTACGCAAACATATTCTGCCACTCGTCCCTACTGACATTCTCAGTATTGAGGATGCGCTTCACAATTGTATTCACCTTTGGCCATCTCTGTTCATAACAGTCCTCATGGCACTTTGAAACGTACATGTCATCAATTTAACACTGAAGAACTCACATCAACAGATAGCATCTCAACTTTTTCGTACTACGCGCTGGGAAAATACCACATCAAGGACTAATTAATAAGATCAAACCTCAAATAGCTCGGTGGAAGAAACGACATTTACAAAACTAAAACCCTTTTCCGAATCCTCAGGTTCGTTCATATTCGACTATTACAATAGCTTTCCTGTAACTAAACTATGAATCGCCTAAAAATATGTGATATTTGTGCAGAATTGCAAATGGTTCAAACGGAAAAGAAGAAGCTTTCGCTTAACGGGCTTTCATGTCTAGTAGCAGTGAATCACCAATACCTCCAGGCAGGAACCTATGTATAATAACGGCAAAAGAAAAAGAAATTGATCTATCGTAGTAAGCTATTATCCTTAATCCTTAAGGATGTCAGGTTTTCTCTTAAGAAACTCCTGGTAATTCGCCTGAACTAACTCAGCTGGAAATAAATTTCAGCATTTGACTACCCTAAAGGAGTATAAAATGCGCATACTGTCCGTTCTTCAATGTTGTAACTTCACTTTCTAAGTGTTACGCCTTGGTTTTGTGTTGGGACTAATCTGAAGTAGATGTTTAAGGGGATTTCCATAACTTTTAGTATATTACAAGTCATTAAAATGTCACCTGTAACAATTCCGTACTCTAGTGGGTTAAGGTTCAATGATTGGAGGCGCTTTTAATAAGGCTTGAATTTGAGTCCCCGAACTGATTTCGTGACTCGCCGCTGGATAAGTTCTAGAGTGTCCTTATCCATTTGTAGTGGTGAAGGAAATACTGTGTTTCCGTACTCTAAATGGGTACGAATGAAACCGTTGAAAATCATGTGGAAAGTTCTACCGTCAAAGTGGCCAAAAAGTTTTTCTCTAAAGGCATTTTTGTCACAGCGTAAAACTTCAAATCGTAGGGTACCAGCACTACTAAATCTTTTTCAACTTGGGACACTTCAAGAGAAGAGTCGCTTAAGTTTCAGCTGTAGTCTGCAGTATGTCTCAGATGTACTGCTTTACGCTTTTAAGTGTTAAAGGTGAGTCCCTTGTCATCCGCCCAACCCTGAAGTCGAGTCTGATCCTCCTGAAGCGCCAGTATATCATCCTGGCTGCATGCCTCTCTCCAACGTTTCACATGATCAGCAAAATGTAATAAATATGACGGAACCTGTTGTGGAAGATTGTTAATAAAAATCAAGAAAAGAAGGGAATCTGGTACTGAACACTGATGGACCCGAATAGAATATTCCATAATTTGGTGTATGAATTCCGTATGATGTTGACGATTTTCTCAACTACTCACATCATAGTGTCGAAGAAGTTTCCATAATGTTCTCCCATACACACTGTCAAACACCTTCTCATAGTTAAGGAAGTTGATCTATAGTGACGAGTTCCATTCAATCGATTGTTCAACAATGATCCATAGTGTCGCGATTCAGTCCGTGCACAATCGATCCTTACGGAATCCAGCTTGTTGATCTTGAAGTTGGGCGCCTACTGAGTCTTTCATCCGGTTCAGCGACACTCTGTTGAAAACACTTCCTGGTGCTGACAGTGGTGTGATGCCTCTGTAGTTCTCACATTTGCTCAGATCTCCTTTCTTTGGCATTTTGGTGAGGTGTCCTTCATTACAGTTCGTCAGTGGCACTTGTTCTTCCTCGCAAATACTCCTCAATAGAACGTGGAGCATCTTTGTAGCTACTTACACATTTGACTTCAGTGCTTCAGCTGGTAATGTTGTCAGGTCATGTTGCTTTCCCACTCTTGATTTGTCTGATGACCACCCTAATTTCTTCGATCGTTGGTGGAGTGACATCTATAGGAAGGTCTGTAGGTGCTGCTTCGATGTGAGGCAGATTCAACAGAGCTGGCCAATTCAAGAGTTCCTCGAAGTATTCCACCCATCTGTTCCTCTGATCTTGCATCTCGTTGACTAGCTTGCCTTCTTCGTCCTTAAACGGTCTCTCTGGTTTACTACATTTCCCTGACAGTTTCTTCGTCGTGTCATATAGTTGTTTCATATTTCCTTCTCTTGCAGCTTTTTCCGCTGTCGTTGCTAGGTCTTCCATGTATTTTGCTTGTCGGCTCGAATGCTCATCTGCACCTGCTTGTTTGCTTCTGTGTATTCAAATTGTGCCTCGACTTCTTCTGTTCTTGTTCAGCTGTTGTTAATTACTGTCTTCAAGTTCTTCATTTCTTGGATCTTGTCCAGGATTTCCATAGAGATCAATTCCTTATAATGACGCCTCTTGCGGTCCAGGACCTCCGGACACGTTGAAGTCAGTGCATCTTTGATCGCTTTCCATTTTTCCTCCATAGTAGTTTCCTCTTCCAGTAGATCCGGTGAGGCTTGTAATTTGTTGTTGAGAGTTACATTGAATTCGTTGAGTTCGTCAGTATCTCGAAGCTTTCTGATGATTTGTTTTCAGAAAGGCTGTGTTCTACGGGTTGGGGTTCCTGACGCATCACCTAAACCTCCTCTTTCATCCGTGCCTGGAACTATCAATAACCCTTCAAGTACTCCAGGCGGATAGCTAAAATGGAACTAATAAACGATTATTATACATACATTTTAAACAGTGATTGTCCAAATATTAATAAGAAGCATACATATCTTTACATGTATTTCCCGAATCTAGATTCTAGTCACAAATTGTGAATCTATACGCAATGCTTCTCTCAATCAGAGTCACGAGCCAATAAACAGAACTGAAGATGTTTGATGATATTGAAGTCGCAGTCTGTTGAGAAAATCTTTATGAGATCTTAATGAAACAACGAGTTTGAGTGTTTGGACCAAAATATGTAGATTTATGTGATAAGATATGAGTATGCAGAATTCTATTGCCTGTTGGACTACATAGCCTGTATTCAGTATTGTACCTTACTGGAAATGCGAAGCTGAAATGGCCTTAATAAACAAAAGTTATTAATTATGTGATGAGTATGGTGATTAGAAGTATTCAAATTAGTGTAATTACTAGGAATTCCCGAAACAGTGCAATTTATGCCAGACAAAAGTAGACGAACACGAAAGAACGAATCGTATATGAAATTCGTAATCAATCGGGAATCAAGCACAAAGAAATCATAATTTCGTACAAATACCACAATGAGTTGTGGCCTTTTACATTGGACCGAAAAACTTTCCACCATAGTTCAGTAGTGAGGTTCGCAACCTTCTCCGAAACAGAAGAAAACTGTAGGATAGATTTGAATTACTGGAGACTGAAGAGATAAAATCTCAGTATCAAGAACATCAGAATACCTGAACGTCGACCCTCCCTGAGTCTAGAAGTTTGTACGAAGAGAAACTTGTCAAGGAACCCGTAAAATATCTTATATAAACCAAAGGACAAAAAGAACAGAAAATATTATAGTACTATGGGGAGACAGTACTGCTTCATCTTTAGTGGAGGACGACTTTGGTAAAGCTCAAGTATTCTCAAACTACTTTAGGATTGTATATACCGTAGAAACGCCCTTCTCGTCAGGGAATACACATCCCCTCACACAGTGGACATCATGATCACTAAAGTACTCGATGTCTTTGGTCTGCTAAATAAGCCTGACATAGGCAAATTCGCGGGACCCGACGAACTTGATCCTAGGTTTCGTTGAGAACCTTTTAAATATATGCTTTAACCTATCCTTGACCCAAGCTCGTTTACCAAATGACTAGAAGAGCTCCACAGTAATTCCTGTCTTCAAAACGGGTACGAAACATAAACGTGAGACCTGCCGACCCCTTGGCTTAACTAGCGTGGTTTTTAAAATTTTAGAAAACATTATTTGGAAGGAGTGGTTTATTTATATCGACAGAAACCGGATCTTTTCGGAGAAGCAGTATGGTTTTAAAATAGGTTATTCCTGTCTCACAAACTTATTAGTGACATGTAGTGTGGCGTCGAGTCGCGGTTGATTATGATCACCACTCCAGGAAGACTACGTGTCAATTAATTGATAAGACCCTCCGTAGGCCAAATATCAGAAAGCAGTTGATAGCTGTAGTCGAGATGTATTTGTTGGCGATCGCGTGGTATGGAAAGAATACCGAGATGGTGCCAGGTTGCAAGTGGGGTTACTGAGCGTAACCGAATTCGTACAATGTCATAACCAACGGGAGAATGTATGTAGTTTGTTACAATTTAACAAACAAGTACGGTAAAATACTCCCTGGTACAATTGGTTATAATAATAATTGTTTCCATTACACCAATCGCGTTCACTTGATAAAAGCAGGTCACTACAGACTCATGAAAGTTGGTGCGCTCTAAAAGATAAAAAAGTGACCTACAGACGTAACATATTGACTTCAGCAAAGGTTTGACAAATTTCTCACAACTGGATGTTATATAAGTTAAGAAATTTCGGAGACAATCTATTGATATGGATAAAAGATTTCCTAATTGTGCGCAAACGAAGAGTACGGGTTAACTTCAAGTTGTCTAGCTGCGTAACTGTGCTTGGCGAAGTGCAACAGGGCACAGCTTTTAGGCCAGAGTTATTCCTCCCATATGTAAATGACCCTCCTCGTCTCCTATCATCATCGGTCTTGCTATATGCTGACGATGTCAAGATATGGAGAGCGATATGACATAAGATTGATAGTTTAGAGCTTGAAGATGACCTGGAGAAGTTATATGAGTGGTCTCAAACTTGGAAGTTGCAGATAAACACTCCCAAGTGTATTGTGATGGATATTGATCATCAAGGTACAGATACATACATGAATAACACTGAGCTACTTGTTGTCCAGTCACACAATGACTTGGGGGTCATCGTTAGCCAAGACTTATAAACTACTGCACACTGCCGTGCAAAAGCTGTCAAAGGCTTAAGAACCCTATGGTCAATATGTAGGGCCTTTAGTCATGTCAACGCTTAAACGTTTTTTGACTACGTATACAGTCTTCATGAGTCCTAAACTTGAGTAACGTGAACAAGCGCCTAGTCCCTGCTTAAAATTTAGAGGTGACTTGATTACAGTTTTCAAGTTACTTAGTGATAAATTTTCACCTGATATTCCCCCCCATTTTTCTTGTTTTACAAAACAGAGAATTTACGAGGACACCGAAAAATTTCACGAGCCCAGAACAAATTGCTTGTCATCTGATTATCGACTTTCCCATCGGACCATCAACGAGTGGAACTCATTACCTCAGTACGTGGTTGAGGTTCCATCCATCGACAATTTCAAAAGGAATTTGGATCAACTGAGAGACCATCATTGCTAGGACTGACGTAGGCCATCAAGGCTCTTGTCCTTTCCGAGCTGAAACTTATTTCTAAAACGCGCGCTAAAATAAAACCAAGGTAATGTGACATAATAATCCTTAGTAGACGTGATCAATATCTCCTAATTTTGATATCAGGGATTCAACGGTTTGCTATAAATACATTGTTCTCTCTACTTTTGGCCTGGCGCCGTATAATTTTGTGGGATACAATTCAAGATGGAGGGACGTCCAATTTCGGATCTTAAGGTTGCCGAGCTTCGCAAGGAGTTGGAGAAGCGCAACAAAGATAAAACCGGTGTTAAACAGGTTTTGCTGGATCGTCTTAAAGAGGTTTTTTCGTCTAAGCAACCTAGAGTTTTAGACTTTAGAAAAGGATGGTCACGATCCTCAAACCTATCGTTTCAGAGATGATGATAGTGTTAAAACTGACCTAGAGATATCGGATCATTCGGTATGTGATCACTTTATTCAAATTTATTCTTTTATAGCCTGTAAATGGTGATGGACTAGGATCTGGTAAGTTGTTTCCGTTCATATTCGTTTGTATGCCCATCAAAAACCATTTTGTTTCACTTTCATTTCAAAGTAATGGGTTAGGAGTAGGATGCTTTTAGTTGCTTAATCCAGCCGACAATGCTTTGGATGTGTTGAGCTGATAATTTATACGTAAATGGAACCTGCGATAATACATTTGACTCGTCATTGTGAGTCACTATGTGCAATGCAAGTACAGCTGTAGCGAACACTTAGTTTCGACGCTCATGGACTCGAGCCGCTGCTTGATCAATTAAGCGGATTGTCACCCTGTAATCTTCATGCCATGCGCGTTCAACAGATCTGTCATACTACCTGAAAAAGCCGCACCCTGTGTGCGAAGTCGTAAATTTCGGATCATTACTATTAGCGAGTTGGTCTACCCTCTATTCAATTGTAAACGGAAATCTGAAGCCGTATTTGATCTAAACATCCAGGATTCTTGTTAACAAACCCGCCAAATAAAAGAAACAATAGAGAACTATATTTTATGCTGTTATGGTAGGATGTGTTGCAAATAAATGGTTTCTTGTTTGCTTTGTACCGTTACCACCCAGAAAATCCAATATTGTTCGCATTCATCACCGCTGTTGCGCAGTTACTTTGGATTGTGCGAGCTGTAATAGGTCGGCATGTATGTTATTTCTCCGATTTACATTACATTTTGGGGTTAACGACTATGATTAAGTCAGGATTGTACATTAGTATGCTCATAGTCAAGTCACCGTAGATTTTAATGTCACCTGTCTTTTGTCTGGTGACAACTACTGATTCTCCAATTAGTAAAAGCATCGACCCTATGCTAATCAAACTAATGGTAATAACTTTCTACTCTTATTCTATTGAAAGAGAAAGTTGGACCCATCACGAAAAGACGAAGTTCGTCAGATGACGTATTGAGTGATGAATATATTATCAGTGAACATCCATTGCAGAAAAAAATTACAGAGGAAACTGTCCCATACGTTGTTCAAGTGGGTGAGCAAGAGGAAGATTTAGATTATGATTTGAAATATGGGAACAATGACGTATCCGAAGTCGCAGGCGATAGCAAAGATACCCAAGTCAAAGATGAAGAACTTGACAAACATGAAAATAAACCAGAAAGGTTCGTAAATGTCTGTCGAATGATATGATTATATTTATCCGCTTCTGACACAAGCTGTTTCTTTTTTTAGTTCAGTTACTACCCACCAGATTAGTGGTATGTTCCATTTGGTTAAGTTACACTTTACGTGTCAGAAAGCTGTAGAAATTTGTGGATAAGTAACTTACCGAAATTGGTGAAAGCTGCAGATTTAAAGCAACATTTTAGCAAGGCGGGGAAGGTATGTTTTTTGCCAATCAGGGTAGTTTTTCAGGTAGTATCAGCTACTGTGGTTATGAGCACCCGCACACCTGGAGGTTGCTTTGGATTTATACAGATGGCTTCTGCTGAAGAGGCAGCATCTGCTGCTAGAGCCTATGATTTAACAGAGTTTGGAGGATGCATACTGCGGGTTGAAGCTACAGAGAGAAAAGCACCAATTCAATCAAACAAAGCAAATGATCGAGTAGCTGGATTAAACAAATTAAAAACTATTATGCCTGATTCTCGACGGACGGTATCCAGACCGTTGGTATCTCGAAGACGTTATATTGGTATGTCAACATAATTTTGTCATTGTTCATATAATTAGCCAACAGACAGCGATTGTTGCGTCGTGCTGCCATTAGAACTGCTATTTTGAGGGAACAACGGAAAAGGTCCGAATATTTATCCGCCAATAATCGTCCACATTCCATTAAGAAAACTCCTATCAGAAGACCTTTATACCAGTTTACTAGACCAAATTATAGAATGTCAAAGGATAGTTTGGTGAGTATGCTACAAAATAATACTATTTTTGGAGCGATCAGTCTCGTAGTTGCATTTTGAACTCGTACTGTGCAGTATGTTATGATATCTAATCACGGTTTGCTAATCATAAGGATGTCACGTGGTTTCGTGAAGTTGCTTTTCGTGTGAATTTACGATTAGATTTTCTTTGGAGACGGGAGCTCTTCGAGGCCTTAACACAGGCGCTTTAATGGATAGTTCACATGTCCCTGTGAAGAACAAAACCTTGTTGCAGAGGTAAAGTACTTTTACCAATTTAGTTCTTGTGTCGTCATATGTAAGTATCAGAGTTATCATATTTGGAAAATGGCATGTAATAATCCCCAAATTTACAAAAGACCAACTGCACATTTATCAAAGTACAGCAAGAATTTTGAGTTATTATTCGACCCTATATGTTGGAGAGAAATTCAACAATTTAAATCAATTCCTCGGAAAAGCATTGAAAGCAACTGTGCGAAGTTTCTGATTTGTATTTCATGAACAAATCCCAAGAATCTGAATTAAATGAATTCTGTTCGGTTTTTAATTTCAAAAAGTGCTGAAGTATTCGTCGGATTTGATTAGTTCCAATTACTTATCTCATTGTTTATGAATGTTTTTGATCTATACGTTTTTATAGCGTTCACGAGGCGGTCTGGCTCTTGCATCTAAACATAAAAGTATTTCACAGCGACAAAGCTCTTCACGGATCAAGTAAGTGAATAACTGATCTTGATGTTTTTTGTACTTATTTTAGTAACCTGACATGCACAATTTATTAGCCAGAATGAAAATTTTTGTATTTGATTCATCTTGTGAACCTAACATTTTGTCCTCTCAGTTAGACTTATATTCCAAACAATCGTTCTCCAAATGTCTATATTCTGTTTTAATGAACCATTTACTACTCGAATACTCGTGGTTCTGGATCGACTCCGTTGCTAGTCCAATAATTACGGGATTTAGCTACTGCTACTTTGTGTATCTTGTCAGTTTTATTTTCGGTTTAGGGATTTTCTCACATATCCTTGTACCAAGTTTTCAGATGTTTTAAATTATTTGGATTCAGTGTTGCACCATACTAAGGGCTTATTTTTAGGAACACGAACATACTGTTCATACTATTAGGTTGTTGGCAAAACTAGTTTCCAAATTGAAACGGCGTATAACCCTTACCACTAATCGCTACGTTACTCCATCACTAAGTTTATATTTATAGCCGTTGTTAGAATAGTACTTTGGTAGTTTTTGACCCATATACCTACTCAAAACTACTCGGCTAGCGGAGTCACGAAATATACTTGATATAAAGCACAAATAATTATAACTTTAACCCTAAAAGAACTAAGGATTCGAAATTTCGCCAGTAAATTTTGACCAAACCTGATCCCTCCTCAGTTTTCCCTAATTCACCTAAAGAATGTTTCGATTCTTTCATATCACTTAAGGATGTCACAAAATAGTAAGAATTTGTGATAAAACATTTAAGCTACTCTACCCATATAAATAAAAATAATAGCAAACCAACTTTTTTCTTAGTGATTAATGAACTCAACATAGATATGTACTGTTAATCCACAAATTAGGGGGTGGACAGTTGACACTTCCTAACTCTTCATACTGCAATGGTTATTTCTACTTTCGAACCCGTGATGTAAACTCGTTTCCTAGTTATTACCTTATAAAGTAGGGTTGTGACTGTAAGGCTTCAGGGACAACTGTTTAGTGCCATTTGCACGGTTGTATAAAGCAATTGTCACTATTATTTTCGTTTATAGTTCTTGACATGGTGCTTCACGTTCTAGATCTCCCGTGGAGTCACATTAAAATCTTGCAACCGGCCCCAAAAATCTGTGTAACAAAAGGAGGGCATTCTAATTTTAATGCTTATCTTTCCCATCATCGTCTGCATAATGGCATCACTAGAGATGGTGGTTGTCCTCGTAAAACGTCACAACCACCATTCCCTAGTATATGCAATATTACGTTTTCTCACTCGGACCTAAAATTACCAGCATTTTGTCTTACTACTCTACAACTAACCTACCTAACCTAGTGGAAAATCAATGAACAAACGTTCCAGTTATTATAGTTTATCCACGCCATTACGTTAACGGCTACGGTTAGGTCTCAGTGGTGAACAGTCTTTGGGTGCCCTAAGCGTGTCTAAACGCTTTTTTCTACTTTTTGTTTAGTTATCCGAAGAAATACCAGTTTGGTTCTTGTCATAAACAGTTTCAAACTTATTGACATACGTGGCATCATATTTATTCTCACACAACCTGTTACAGCAGTGGAATTTTGAGTTGTTTTGTAATTGATATAGAACGATTAAATACGTCTAGTTATTCTTAAGAGTAATACTCAACTGCATATTTCTGTTTGCTCAGTAACCACGCAATTCTAGAACTTTAGCTCTTTTTGAACGTTTTAGCACCAATCATGGAACGCAGTCGCTGTTACAAAGAAGATTAAATTATACCGTCAATCGAAGGCTGCGTGAGCCAATTCGTATTCACAAAAGTGCCAGTGTTTCACATCGATCGTCCAAATCATTTTTGCCTAGAGTACACAGAAGTTCAAATATATGTCCAGAAAACCATCGAAGCTGTCTTTCTCCACCTTCCCGTTTAATCCCTTTGGATACACTCACTTCAAAACGGAACCCAACCTTTCGCACTAATCGTCCTGTAGAAAGAGATATACGTGAACCCTATCGCCCTGTTTTGCCAGAACGAAAGTATCATCCTCAGTCACCTGGTCGATCACATGAATCAAGTCGGTATGCACGAAACACTCAATCATCAGTCTATACAGGAAGAAACACTGCTAAATCAGTATACGATAGTCGTTCTCGTCAAAGTCACTTGATGACTCGTTCTGAACCGCGGTAAGCCATGGCTTTATATCTATTCCACGAAATTCATTGTCACTTCTCTTTATTTGTAGCACTTAAAACCCATCGAGGATCCAGAAGTATATTGTTTATCTGAGTGAAATATGTCAGTTATGCTTATAAAGCTTGGATTCTCATGTAGGAGTTACATTCGTCCTCATAGTTTGAGGCTGCACATCGGTCGCATGTGATATACACACTGAAGATAAATATGTCTACAGTACTGTTGTGATTTGTCTACTGGTGTAATTGAAATTTTTCTCGCTGAATCAGATTATTTGATTAGTTTTATTTAAGATTGTTATGAAATGTTAGCCAGGTTTTACTTTTGTTATATGTTGAGTATTCAGCTCAAAAAGCATTTTGATTTCATGTTTAACAATGTCTGTTGTAGACAGATCAGTATACATTTAGTGTTAATACGATAATGTAGTACTATACCAAGTACGTCTACTCAGATTGGTTTCAGTTAAGAATTTTTAAAATGTACTGATTGAATTACATGGTTTTCAATATAGATATTTCGTCTTTTAAAACCGTTTGTGATGTTAAGTTAATAATTATTTTTGGTCTGACTTTTTCAGCTAGTTACATTCATTGTTACTTTGACATCCGGCAAAAATAGATAGAGCTCAGGTTATCCGTAATGTTTGTGGAATTAGTTATTGTGAAGGTGGCTTAAGATTTTATTATTCCCGGGAGTTAATTATCTGAATACAGTGGTGTTATATGAGATAAAATCAATATCATTTTAGTAGAAATGGAAAGAATAAATATAACTTGTTCTCTGAATTTCACACCTAACACTCCATAATTCATGTTTGTGTAGTTAGTTCTCATATGACCGTCGTCATCATTAGCTTTTGGTGCCGTTCGATAAGACTGTAAGGACGAAACGGCCATCTAGTGCTTTCAAGTTTTCAATGGTGGTCTAACATTGGTCGGTTCATGATCCCAATAAAAACTCAACAATCTTCATAACCCATTACTCATAACTATGAGCAGTCGTTTGTTAAATAGTTAGTTTATCTTCTCCCTTATATTTCCTAACCCCTAGTAAAATCGTTGTAACTCATACATTGGGACAACTTATTACCCTCATTTAGGCAAACTTACTGCGCAGCCGTCCATTCTGTATCACTACACAGCTGTGAAACGTAACATATAAAAGAGTAGGCTACAAGTATTTAAGAGTAGTTATTTCCGAAGAATTTCTCGTGCATGATGAGACCAAAAATGATTAATTCTGAGATTAAAGGTGGGGTATTGAGCGAATGTGGCAAATCATTTGATGAGGCTGCGGATCTTTAACTAAGATGGCTTGGATATGTGTTGTGTATGCCCAAACACCACCTACCTCGTCGCGCAATGCTGACGCGAATAGGAGTTGGTTGAAAACTAGGAAGCGCCAAGTTAATTTATCTGACCAATACACTACGTCATTGACTGTTAAACTGGACAGTTTGTGTGTTGATTATCTGGTTTGGACTCAATTGGTGATTGCCTAGAATATATCGCATTCACTGTATCTCCCACTTGATCTTAGATTTCCACTTTTTCTTTTTGAACCATCTTTTCCAATGTTAAGTCTTTCTCACTACCAATGATACAACCACTGTTTTGACTCCCTTACCATTCGTCTTATTGATTTCATCTCCTCGTGCTGATATGGTGTAGAAACTTAGTCCGTCCGGAATTTGTACCAGGTTTTACATTGATTATGACCGAACTATATTTTAACGTTGTTATTTATATAAAGCGAGTGGTCTAGTGGCTAGGGCGTTCAATTGTCAGCCAATAAGTTTCAGGTTCGAACTCCGTTCCATGCAATTTAGTTTGGGTAACCGAGTAAATATCATTAGCTCTCGCATTTAGAATGGTTCATACCCAAATATCTGGTTAATGAGTTAATTTAACTTAGTTTTTGTGATTATTTATTTCACGTTCACTACACTATCATTTAAGTGATTTATTGGGCAATAAACTATATCCGTTACTTTACAATGAATTTTCATTTGTTTGTGCATATAGGATTTACTAAAATTAGATAATTATATAAGTTCATTTCTATATTTGTATGTATATGCACGAACATAAGCTTGATGGTATTGATATGTAATTTACTTATTACCAATTCCTATTTTTAGCTATACGAATTACAGCAATTTTGATAGTCGAAAAATGGCCGTAGCCTCTCGTACAGATATGTATTCTGAAGAACGTTATCGAACTCACGATAGTCATCTATCTGAAGTACGCAGAAGTCAATTAAGGTCAAACCCCCCTACTTCACGAATGAGAGTTGAGGAGAGTAAACGAGAGTACCGTGCAGTTAGTAGAAGCCCACCAAGGTCAAGAGATTCTACAATGATGCGCCCGTACCCAGTTTCTCTCAATTTCAATCGCCATCGCACGGAAACCAGTCATCGTGGCCGCAGTCCACTGATGTTACAGTCTACACCACACAGACCCGAAATCGTGGAGTATGAACACCGTTCAGGTACGTAATCGTCAAGTTAATATAAGGGGCCCCAGCCGATTCATCTGTAATTCTTTTGTTGGTTATCTGTCTCTATTGATAATCGTAGTGTAAGGTAATATATCTAGCACTTGGATTAACTGACTGCCTTATCTTTCTTTTTATTCCCAAGACATCTGAGTTTTTATAGTCGTTTCTCGATAAAGACTATATGGATCACCTTCGTTTGGAACTCACGTTTCGCAAACCCAGTTAGAAATCGATTGTACGTTTGCTAATTTCAAGTCGCAGTTACTTCAATATATACAGATTTTACTTAGTCTTTTTGAACGCTTCTAAGTACAAACTAGAAATATTCTTTTCACTCATGGTTTCAGAATTTAATTAGTGATCTTATTCACTTTGATTAGGTTTTCATTAGTATTGTGCATTAATCAGTAATATATTTGTAATATCATAATCTGTAGAAGTCTCAATTCCTGGCGTTTTACAATTTATCGGGAGTCGCTTTTTCAGGTAATAAATACCTGCGGTCGTAGTCTAAAAACATATGAACCACACAAACGAATACTGAATAAAAATAAATAATAGAATGAAGATACAATAAAGATTAGAGGAGTAATGAGATACCATTCAGCTTATAATCCAACCATAATCGAATAATTATAGGCCCTCTCATTACAGGAAGATCACCAGTGGTTTCTTTTTCTTCCCATATTTCGTAGTCTCAAGCTTCTAGGTTTCACTATTTCTAGATGTTTTCCAAGTGGCATATATGTCATTATCGTATTGATGACCTTTTTATTTTGATTGTTCAGTCACCTGTGTTTATTATTGAATATTATCTTTTGATACGAATAAAGTTATAAGAAACCGATAAAAACTCGAAATAAAATAAACTCATATTTTTCTGCTTTGATTGTTGTTCTTGCTTAATCCAAATTTCTGAGAGAAAATAATTTCAAATTTCAAGACTTTGGAAATTATTAAAACGTGTACATTAAGTGTTCAAAACCGTTTGTTTAGGAAAAGCGTTTTCCTTTTTGTATTGTTAACTGAAAATGCCGCTAGAAAACGGAATACTGGAAGTAATGTCTATACATTTCTTGTAGTGTATCTGACCATTAATTTGTCACGTCTAATTTTCAAAAAATGTATAGATTTCTACTAACTAGTTCATTCAAATCGTTGGCAAACCAATATATATATATATATATATATATATATATATATATATATATATATATATATATATATATAATTTTTTTTTCTTGGTTAGAATTCTATTTCAAGACTATGTGCAAATTTGTTTCTTCTTTACTTTGAATATGTATTTTCCAATTGTAGAGCCAAGAACGAATTGGCAAACTGAAAGACGTTCCAAAGTTTTCTCATCTCCATCACAGTCGTGGAGGCCGGCAAACAATGCATTTTTCCTATCTCCTACATATGAAAATCGAAATACAGGTCGCCGATACCAATAACACTTATTGCTTATTATATGTATATGAATATGTTATATTCAAATTTGACAAGCAATTCTCTACTTATATCAATTACATTTAGCAAGTGTATTAATTGTGCGAAAATTTTTATCCATGAAGGTTGTCGATCTGCATTCATTCATATAAAGCATTTTCTTTAGAAATGTTTTAACTTTGATCCTTCACATCGTAATTGAGCTATTTATTAATCTACTATCCCAATCTAGCTATACGATGCCCGATGGTATTTAAAAGATTTGCAAATTATTAAGCAAAATCATATTTGTAGAAAACTCGATGAAATAAGCATTCAAAAAAACTGGTCACCAATAAACGTCTGAACCGAGTATAATCGAGTGACAACATCCTATTGCATAAACGAAAAATTAAGGATAAATATAAACCATTGGATCCCAAATAATACGTAAAACCTGCAAAAAATTTTACTTCAGTAAATTTTGTTAGCACCGTTGTGGTTTAGTGTCTGAGAAGTGATGTGTTCTCATTGGAGCTAGGAATGCATTGTGAGGGTTAATAATGAGTGTTTGGAGTATGTATGCACTTGAGTGTGTGTTGGTAATTGTGAGATTTTGTGGGAAGGTGGGTGGATGAGTGTGAATTGATAAGGCGGGACAGCGATATACTGGTGTGCGTGAAAGTTTGTCTTTATTTACAAACAAACCAATAAGTAATATTGGTGATGTGATTGCGATTAGTGTAGTTAGAGTTTCGATTGTTAAATGAGGTGTGGATGTTTACATGTTTGTCAGTGTATCGGATGGTGTTGTTGTTGGTGTTTGAGTAAGAACCCTTGTTGATCCGTCCTGGAGATGTCTAGTTTTCAGGAAGCCAACGACGAAGGGGAAATGTTTTCTGGTCTCTTCGGTGAACCAGGATTGTACTGGTTCTTACTTAGCACCAGGTAGATGTGTTTATTGTGAGTGTGACGAATGATGTCTAGTATTGGTTTGTGTTGGGACGTGTGTTGAACTGTGTTGATTGTTTATAGCTTAGGGATGACTTGTACTGTGATGTTGGTCGTATGTCTGTTGATGATCAGGTGGTTTTGTGTGTGTGTGTGTGTGTGGTGGTGGTGTAGTTGTTGTTATTGATCTGTTTGCCTGTTTGTGTTTGTATGGTAGGGAATAGTGTTGTTGGTTTTGTTGATTTTGAATATGGTTGGACTGGGATCATTGGGTTGGGGTGTTTGTTTGTTAGTGTAGTTGACGACTCATTTATTCTGTGTTTGTAACTTTCAGTGTTTCACTTTGTTTGTCAATGGTATTGATTATTCTATTGGCGTGTTTGTGTGTATGTGTGTGTGTGTGTGGTGGGGTGTGTAGTTTGGTTATATTTGTGAGTGATTGTGGGAGGTATTTCTGAGATGTGTTCTGTTGAGCGTGAGGCGTGCTGATGAGCTTGTTGACATGCTGAGGGAATTAGGTGAGTGATTGTAGTGAGATGTGTGATTTCTGTTCGAGCTGTTCGAGCTGGATCGACTGATGATGTATAGTGTGTTGTTCAGCTGGGAGACGGACGGTGTGTGTGGTGATAGTGTAAGTGTGCGTGTAGAACGTTAATGAGTAAATTAGTTTAGTGTTGAATTTGTGTGGTTTGATGTGGGGTTACGGTTTGTGGTAATCTCTGAGTAATGAAAATTCTGTTCATAGTTTGTTGTAATGTGTGTTGATGGTTTGACGGTAGTGGTGTGTGTGTTTTTGTGAGAGTTTATATTTGAATGAAGTGAAGTATTTCAGTAAATTTTGTTGGCACCGTTGTGGTTTAGTGTCTGAGAAGTGATGTGTTCTCATTGGAGCTAGGAATGCATTGTGAGGGTTAATAATGAGTGTTTGGAGTATGTATGCACTTGAGTGTGTGTTGGTAATTGTGAGATTTTGTGGGAAGGTGGGTGGATGAGTGTGAATTGATAAGGCGGGACAGCGATATACTGGTGTGCGTGAAAGTTTGTCTTTATTTACAAACAAACCAATAAGTAATATTGGTGATGTGATTGCGATTAGTGTAGTTAGAGTTTCGATTGTTAAATGAGGTGTGGATGTTTACATGTTTGTCAGTGTATCGGATGGTGTTGTTGTTGGTGTTTGAGTAAGAACCCTTGTTGATCCGTCCTGGAGATGTCTAGTTTTCAGGAAGCCAACGACGAAGGGGAAATGTTTTCTGGTCTCTTCGGTGAACCAGGATTGTACTGGTTCTTACTTAGCACCAGGTAGATGTGTTTATTGTGAGTGTGACGAATGATGTCTAGTATTGGTTTGTGTTGGGACGTGTGTTGAACTGTGTTGATTGTTTATAGCTTAGGGATGACTTGTACTGTGATGTTGGTCGTATGTCTGTTGATGATCAGGTGGTTTTGTGTGTGTGTGTGTGTGTGGTGGTGGTGTAGTTGTTGTTATTGATCTGTTTGCCTGTTTGTGTTTGTATGGTAGGGAATAGTGTTGTTGGTTTTGTTGATTTTGAATATGGTTGGACTGGGATCATTGGGTTGGGGTGTTTGTTTGTTAGTGTAGTTGACGACTCATTTATTCTGTGTTTGTAACTTTCAGTGTTTCACTTTGTTTGTCAATGGTATTGATTATTCTATTGGCGTGTTTGTGTGTATGTGTGTGTGTGTGTGGTGGGGTGTGTAGTTTGGTTATATTTGTGAGTGATTGTGGGAGGTATTTCTGAGATGTGTTCTGTTGAGCGTGAGGCGTGCTGATGAGCTTGTTGACATGCTGAGGGAATTAGGTGAGTGATTGTAGTGAGATGTGTGATTTCTGTTCGAGCTGTTCGAGCTGGATCGACTGATGATGTATAGTGTGTTGTTCAGCTGGGAGACGGACGGTGTGTGTGGTGATAGTGTAAGTGTGCGTGTAGAACGTTAATGAGTAAATTAGTTTAGTGTTGAATTTGTGTGGTTTGATGTGGGGTTACGGTTTGTGGTAATCTCTGAGTAATGAAAATTCTGTTCATAGTTTGTTGTAATGTGTGTTGATGGTTTGACGGTAGTGGTGTGTGTGTTTTTGTGAGAGTTTATATTTGAATGAAGTGAAGTATTTCAGTAAATTTTGTTGGCACCGTTGTGGTTTAGTGTCTGAGAAGTGATGTGTTCTCATTGGAGCTAGGAATGCATTGTGAGGGTTAATAATGAGTGTTTGGAGTATGTATGCACTTGAGTGTGTGTTGGTAATTGTGAGATTTTGTGGGAAGGTGGGTGGATGAGTGTGAATTGATAAGGCGGGACAGCGATATACTGGTGTGCGTGAAAGTTTGTCTTTATTTACAAACAAACCAATAAGTAATATTGGTGATGTGATTGCGATTAGTGTAGTTAGAGTTTCGATTGTTAAATGAGGTGTGGATGTTTACATGTTTGTCAGTGTATCGGATGGTGTTGTTGTTGGTGTTTGAGTAAGAACCCTTGTTGATCCGTCCTGGAGATGTCTAGTTTTCAGGAAGCCAACGACGAAGGGGAAATGTTTTCTGGTCTCTTCGGTGAACCAGGATTGTACTGGTTCTTACTTAGCACCAGGTAGATGTGTTTATTGTGAGTGTGACGAATGATGTCTAGTATTGGTTTGTGTTGGGACGTGTGTTGAACTGTGTTGATTGTTTATAGCTTAGGGATGACTTGTACTGTGATGTTGGTCGTATGTCTGTTGATGATCAGGTGGTTTTGTGTGTGTGTGTGTGTGTGGTGGTGGTGTAGTTGTTGTTATTGATCTGTTTGCCTGTTTGTGTTTGTATGGTAGGGAATAGTGTTGTTGGTTTTGTTGATTTTGAATATGGTTGGACTGGGATCATTGGGTTGGGGTGTTTGTTTGTTAGTGTAGTTGACGACTCATTTATTCTGTGTTTGTAACTTTCAGTGTTTCACTTTGTTTGTCAATGGTATTGATTATTCTATTGGCGTGTTTGTGTGTATGTGTGTGTGTGTGTGGTGGGGTGTGTAGTTTGGTTATATTTGTGAGTGATTGTGGGAGGTATTTCTGAGATGTGTTCTGTTGAGCGTGAGGCGTGCTGATGAGCTTGTTGACATGCTGAGGGAATTAGGTGAGTGATTGTAGTGAGATGTGTGATTTCTGTTCGAGCTGTTCGAGCTGGATCGACTGATGATGTATAGTGTGTTGTTCAGCTGGGAGACGGACGGTGTGTGTGGTGATAGTGTAAGTGTGCGTGTAGAACGTTAATGAGTAAATTAGTTTAGTGTTGAATTTGTGTGGTTTGATGTGGGGTTACGGTTTGTGGTAATCTCTGAGTAATGAAAATTCTGTTCATAGTTTGTTGTAATGTGTGTTGATGGTTTGACGGTAGTGGTGTGTGTGTTTTTGTGAGAGTTTATATTTGAATGAAGTGAAGTATTTCAGTAAATTTTGTTGGCACCGTTGTGGTTTAGTGTCTGAGAAGTGATGTGTTCTCATTGGAGCTAGGAATGCATTGTGAGGGTTAATAATGAGTGTTTGGAGTATGTATGCACTTGAGTGTGTGTTGGTAATTGTGAGATTTTGTGGGAAGGTGGGTGGATGAGTGTGAATTGATAAGGCGGGACAGCGATATACTGGTGTGCGTGAAAGTTTGTCTTTATTTACAAACAAACCAATAAGTAATATTGGTGATGTGATTGCGATTAGTGTAGTTAGAGTTTCGATTGTTAAATGAGGTGTGGATGTTTACATGTTTGTCAGTGTATCGGATGGTGTTGTTGTTGGTGTTTGAGTAAGAACCCTTGTTGATCCGTCCTGGAGATGTCTAGTTTTCAGGAAGCCAACGACGAAGGGGAAATGTTTTCTGGTCTCTTCGGTGAACCAGGATTGTACTGGTTCTTACTTAGCACCAGGTAGATGTGTTTATTGTGAGTGTGACGAATGATGTCTAGTATTGGTTTGTGTTGGGACGTGTGTTGAACTGTGTTGATTGTTTATAGCTTAGGGATGACTTGTACTGTGATGTTGGTCGTATGTCTGTTGATGATCAGGTGGTTTTGTGTGTGTGTGTGTGTGTGGTGGTGGTGTAGTTGTTGTTATTGATCTGTTTGCCTGTTTGTGTTTGTATGGTAGGGAATAGTGTTGTTGGTTTTGTTGATTTTGAATATGGTTGGACTGGGATCATTGGGTTGGGGTGTTTGTTTGTTAGTGTAGTTGACGACTCATTTATTCTGTGTTTGTAACTTTCAGTGTTTCACTTTGTTTGTCAATGGTATTGATTATTCTATTGGCGTGTTTGTGTGTATGTGTGTGTGTGTGTGGTGGGGTGTGTAGTTTGGTTATATTTGTGAGTGATTGTGGGAGGTATTTCTGAGATGTGTTCTGTTGAGCGTGAGGCGTGCTGATGAGCTTGTTGACATGCTGAGGGAATTAGGTGAGTGATTGTAGTGAGATGTGTGATTTCTGTTCGAGCTGTTCGAGCTGGATCGACTGATGATGTATAGTGTGTTGTTCAGCTGGGAGACGGACGGTGTGTGTGGTGATAGTGTAAGTGTGCGTGTAGAACGTTAATGAGTAAATTAGTTTAGTGTTGAATTTGTGTGGTTTGATGTGGGGTTACGGTTTGTGGTAATCTCTGAGTAATGAAAATTCTGTTCATAGTTTGTTGTAATGTGTGTTGATGGTTTGACGGTAGTGGTGTGTGTGTTTTTGTGAGAGTTTATATTTGAATGAAGTGAAGTATTTCAGTAAATTTTGTTGGCACCGTTGTGGTTTAGTGTCTGAGAAGTGATGTGTTCTCATTGGAGCTAGGAATGCATTGTGAGGGTTAATAATGAGTGTTTGGAGTATGTATGCACTTGAGTGTGTGTTGGTAATTGTGAGATTTTGTGGGAAGGTGGGTGGATGAGTGTGAATTGATAAGGCGGGACAGCGATATACTGGTGTGCGTGAAAGTTTGTCTTTATTTACAAACAAACCAATAAGTAATATTGGTGATGTGATTGCGATTAGTGTAGTTAGAGTTTCGATTGTTAAATGAGGTGTGGATGTTTACATGTTTGTCAGTGTATCGGATGGTGTTGTTGTTGGTGTTTGAGTAAGAACCCTTGTTGATCCGTCCTGGAGATGTCTAGTTTTCAGGAAGCCAACGACGAAGGGGAAATGTTTTCTGGTCTCTTCGGTGAACCAGGATTGTACTGGTTCTTACTTAGCACCAGGTAGATGTGTTTATTGTGAGTGTGACGAATGATGTCTAGTATTGGTTTGTGTTGGGACGTGTGTTGAACTGTGTTGATTGTTTATAGCTTAGGGATGACTTGTACTGTGATGTTGGTCGTATGTCTGTTGATGATCAGGTGGTTTTGTGTGTGTGTGTGTGTGTGGTGGTGGTGTAGTTGTTGTTATTGATCTGTTTGCCTGTTTGTGTTTGTATGGTAGGGAATAGTGTTGTTGGTTTTGTTGATTTTGAATATGGTTGGACTGGGATCATTGGGTTGGGGTGTTTGTTTGTTAGTGTAGTTGACGACTCATTTATTCTGTGTTTGTAACTTTCAGTGTTTCACTTTGTTTGTCAATGGTATTGATTATTCTATTGGCGTGTTTGTGTGTATGTGTGTGTGTGTGTGGTGGGGTGTGTAGTTTGGTTATATTTGTGAGTGATTGTGGGAGGTATTTCTGAGATGTGTTCTGTTGAGCGTGAGGCGTGCTGATGAGCTTGTTGACATGCTGAGGGAATTAGGTGAGTGATTGTAGTGAGATGTGTGATTTCTGTTCGAGCTGTTCGAGCTGGATCGACTGATGATGTATAGTGTGTTGTTCAGCTGGGAGACGGACGGTGTGTGTGGTGATAGTGTAAGTGTGCGTGTAGAACGTTAATGAGTAAATTAGTTTAGTGTTGAATTTGTGTGGTTTGATGTGGGGTTACGGTTTGTGGTAATCTCTGAGTAATGAAAATTCTGTTCATAGTTTGTTGTAATGTGTGTTGATGGTTTGACGGTAGTGGTGTGTGTGTTTTTGTGAGAGTTTATATTTGAATGAAGTGAAGTATTTCAGTAAATTTTGTTGGCACCGTTGTGGTTTAGTGTCTGAGAAGTGATGTGTTCTCATTGGAGCTAGGAATGCATTGTGAGGGTTAATAATGAGTGTTTGGAGTATGTATGCACTTGAGTGTGTGTTGGTAATTGTGAGATTTTGTGGGAAGGTGGGTGGATGAGTGTGAATTGATAAGGCGGGACAGCGATATACTGGTGTGCGTGAAAGTTTGTCTTTATTTACAAACAAACCAATAAGTAATATTGGTGATGTGATTGCGATTAGTGTAGTTAGAGTTTCGATTGTTAAATGAGGTGTGGATGTTTACATGTTTGTCAGTGTATCGGATGGTGTTGTTGTTGGTGTTTGAGTAAGAACCCTTGTTGATCCGTCCTGGAGATGTCTAGTTTTCAGGAAGCCAACGACGAAGGGGAAATGTTTTCTGGTCTCTTCGGTGAACCAGGATTGTACTGGTTCTTACTTAGCACCAGGTAGATGTGTTTATTGTGAGTGTGACGAATGATGTCTAGTATTGGTTTGTGTTGGGACGTGTGTTGAACTGTGTTGATTGTTTATAGCTTAGGGATGACTTGTACTGTGATGTTGGTCGTATGTCTGTTGATGATCAGGTGGTTTTGTGTGTGTGTGTGTGTGTGGTGGTGGTGTAGTTGTTGTTATTGATCTGTTTGCCTGTTTGTGTTTGTATGGTAGGGAATAGTGTTGTTGGTTTTGTTGATTTTGAATATGGTTGGACTGGGATCATTGGGTTGGGGTGTTTGTTTGTTAGTGTAGTTGACGACTCATTTATTCTGTGTTTGTAACTTTCAGTGTTTCACTTTGTTTGTCAATGGTATTGATTATTCTATTGGCGTGTTTGTGTGTATGTGTGTGTGTGTGTGGTGGGGTGTGTAGTTTGGTTATATTTGTGAGTGATTGTGGGAGGTATTTCTGAGATGTGTTCTGTTGAGCGTGAGGCGTGCTGATGAGCTTGTTGACATGCTGAGGGAATTAGGTGAGTGATTGTAGTGAGATGTGTGATTTCTGTTCGAGCTGTTCGAGCTGGATCGACTGATGATGTATAGTGTGTTGTTCAGCTGGGAGACGGACGGTGTGTGTGGTGATAGTGTAAGTGTGCGTGTAGAACGTTAATGAGTAAATTAGTTTAGTGTTGAATTTGTGTGGTTTGATGTGGGGTTACGGTTTGTGGTAATCTCTGAGTAATGAAAATTCTGTTCATAGTTTGTTGTAATGTGTGTTGATGGTTTGACGGTAGTGGTGTGTGTGTTTTTGTGAGAGTTTATATTTGAATGAAGTGAAGTATTTCAGTAAATTTTGTTGGCACCGTTGTGGTTTAGTGTCTGAGAAGTGATGTGTTCTCATTGGAGCTAGGAATGCATTGTGAGGGTTAATAATGAGTGTTTGGAGTATGTATGCACTTGAGTGTGTGTTGGTAATTGTGAGATTTTGTGGGAAGGTGGGTGGATGAGTGTGAATTGATAAGGCGGGACAGCGATATACTGGTGTGCGTGAAAGTTTGTCTTTATTTACAAACAAACCAATAAGTAATATTGGTGATGTGATTGCGATTAGTGTAGTTAGAGTTTCGATTGTTAAATGAGGTGTGGATGTTTACATGTTTGTCAGTGTATCGGATGGTGTTGTTGTTGGTGTTTGAGTAAGAACCCTTGTTGATCCGTCCTGGAGATGTCTAGTTTTCAGGAAGCCAACGACGAAGGGGAAATGTTTTCTGGTCTCTTCGGTGAACCAGGATTGTACTGGTTCTTACTTAGCACCAGGTAGATGTGTTTATTGTGAGTGTGACGAATGATGTCTAGTATTGGTTTGTGTTGGGACGTGTGTTGAACTGTGTTGATTGTTTATAGCTTAGGGATGACTTGTACTGTGATGTTGGTCGTATGTCTGTTGATGATCAGGTGGTTTTGTGTGTGTGTGTGTGTGTGTGGTGGTGGTGTAGTTGTTGTTATTGATCTGTTTGCCTGTTTGTGTTTGTATGGTAGGGAATAGTGTTGTTGGTTTTGTTGATTTTGAATATGGTTGGACTGGGATCATTGGGTTGGGGTGTTTGTTTGTTAGTGTAGTTGACGACTCATTTATTCTGTGTTTGTAACTTTCAGTGTTTCACTTTGTTTGTCAATGGTATTGATTATTCTATTGGCGTGTTTGTGTGTATGTGTGTGTGTGTGTGGTGGGGTGTGTAGTTTGGTTATATTTGTGAGTGATTGTGGGAGGTATTTCTGAGATGTGTTCTGTTGAGCGTGAGGCGTGCTGATGAGCTTGTTGACATGCTGAGGGAATTAGGTGAGTGATTGTAGTGAGATGTGTGATTTCTGTTCGAGCTGTTCGAGCTGGATCGACTGATGATGTATAGTGTGTTGTTCAGCTGGGAGACGGACGGTGTGTGTGGTGATAGTGTAAGTGTGCGTGTAGAACGTTAATGAGTAAATTAGTTTAGTGTTGAATTTGTGTGGTTTGATGTGGGGTTACGGTTTGTGGTAATCTCTGAGTAATGAAAATTCTGTTCATAGTTTGTTGTAATGTGTGTTGATGGTTTGACGGTAGTGGTGTGTGTGTTTTTGTGAGAGTTTATATTTGAATGAAGTGAAGTATTTCAGTAAATTTTGTTGGCACCGTTGTGGTTTAGTGTCTGAGAAGTGATGTGTTCTCATTGGAGCTAGGAATGCATTGTGAGGGTTAATAATGAGTGTTTGGAGTATGTATGCACTTGAGTGTGTGTTGGTAATTGTGAGATTTTGTGGGAAGGTGGGTGGATGAGTGTGAATTGATAAGGCGGGACAGCGATATACTGGTGTGCGTGAAAGTTTGTCTTTATTTACTTTATTTACCTTGATTAGTAATTTTATTCAGTGTTGAATTTGTTTGGTTTGATTGTGTTAATATTTTTGAAATTCTCTGGCTTTTGAATTTTATTTTTTTGTTTTCTACTTGTTTTTTTGGTGATACTTTTTCTTTAAATATCAATGTAGGCGAACGTATTTTTGATAATCATTTTTTAGTTTATTTTATTTTTACCTTCAAATGATTTCAATTCTGCTAAATATTTTCATATGATGGATGGATGATCTTAGTGCTGGTTTATTTGTTACTGATAGAGAATAGGAGATGGAAAGGTGAGATCGCGGTTTGTGCGTATGATTTGGTTCGGAAAATACGTTTTGTAGTAATCAATGTGTCGAGTTATTTCGGCGTCATCTTTATTTATTTTTCAAGACAACTTAGCTAGACTGCCCTTAAAGAGAATCAAATCAGGTCGATAAATGTGGTTTTCAATCTTCCAGTGAATGGTGCATCTTACTAAAGAATGGACGTGAACTAAATGGATCAGCGGTTTCTACCTGTTACATCCTCCCACTCGCAACCCATATAAAAAGGATGCGAAGCTATGAAGGAACCAGATCTAGGGTTAAGTGTTGTGGAGAAGGAACTTAGAATTGCAAATTTTCAGGTTGTGACGCTTTGGGAGATACTGATGCTGAAGCCAATTTCGGTACGGCACGAAGCCATTGGATTAGGCTTTGGGTCTACTACACAAACTACGGAGTTTAGGCAACAAGCTGTCGGAGCTAGGTATATATATGGACTCTAGCAAGATGGATGTAATCGCCATCACAGAGACTTTGCTGACCCAACCTACAGGGATCATAATATTGGACCCTCATGTTAGTTAGTGCCGGCAGAACCCATAAGCGTAAAGGAGGAGTAGCACTGTTCATTAGAAGTGCTATATATTTTTTACCGTTATCGATAACAAATCCCATGGAAATGGAACGTGCGAATTAGTTAGTTGCCGCTTGAAATTCAAGGGACACGAGCTGCTGATTATTTTGGTCAACCAAAGTTAAAACTGTGAGGTGAATGAGGTCTTGCTAGACGAGTTCGATGCTTAATCACCAAGTTGTTGATGTTTCATATTAAGAGACTTTAATGCAGCCACTATATACCGGAAAAATCTGAGGACTGAGTTGTCGAAGAATTCTTTCAAACAAGAACTAGTTGATGCGGTCATTACATATGCCCTAGTGCAACATATGAAATAAGCAACTAGATACTACAAAGACTCTGAATCATCCTCAATAGATCTCACATTGACGCACCATAAGGACAGAGTCAAAAACTTCGGTTACGTGTTATCATAGGTTAAGGGTGATTGTGATCCTAGTCCTTCACATTCTTGTTGTTGTCAACAACTGTTTATCAGCCCAAGCCAGACCAAACGACTGGAAGGCAAATATAGAGGAAGCTATGTGTTCAATACCGCTAGCAGATTAGGCAGTAGAATCAGGATTCCCACTGAAACATCTTGCGATGTATTCGGAAATTTGCACACAAAATGAACTACACTGCACATCCTTTTGACTACACCAAGGAGTCCGAAAAACCCCTCTCCGTGGTTCATTAAGGAGTTTTGCACTAAATAACACTGACATAGATAAATCCATGGGAACCGATGAATGTATTCTAGGTTACTAAAGGCGTTGATAAATTCTGCCGCAAACCCCTTAAGCATATGTATTATTCTGTCTGTAACCAAGGGTGAATTACCAAAAGACCAAAATAACGCCTGGTAAGTCTTATCTCTATAGCAGATACGAGGCGTAAACCTGAGAACTATCTACACGTAGGCCTAAATAGGGTGGTTATTAAAAATTTAGAAAAGCGGGTTCGGAAGTTGTTTAAGTATCTAGAAGAATACCGTATTCCTTCTGAAAAGCAACAGGGCTTGCGAAAATGTTATTCATGTCTCACAAACTTATTAGTGGCCCGTGAAATTTAGTGCACTCTTAAATATCAAAAGTTACCTGTAGATGTACCCTTCGTTTACTTGAGCGAGGCTTTTGACAAAGTTCCTCAAAACAAACCGCTATATAGGTCAAGTAATATCAGGATTAGAAGCTATTTATTAACGTGGATAAAAGATTTTGTAGTTATAAGTCAACAAAGAGTGCGGTTGAATTCAAATTTATCTAGTTGGAAAACTGTGCTTACCGGAGTGTCTCAGGGTAGAGCTTTGGAGCCAATGTTGATCCTATTGAGTGTAAATGATCTTCCTAGTCTCCTATAATTGATTTTTTTATGTGCTGACGAAGTCAAGATATGGAGGGCTATAAGAAGTAAAGGTGATAGTTCGAAGCTTGAAAATGACCTGGAGATATTATCTGGGTGGTCTAGAACTTGGCAGTTCCCGATGAATGCTTCCAAGTACATTATGATGCATACCGGTCACCGAGGTACAGATACACACACGGTGAATAACGGTGAGCTACCCGTTTTCTTGAAACATAAAGACTTGAGACTCATTGTTAGTCAAAATAAAAAAAACTACTAAACGTTGCCATGCAATAGTCGTGTAGATCACTAACGTAGATGATCTATGTCGAAATGATTGGAGGCCGACTCGAGTTAGACGTGAATAGTGTGACGAACCAACTAACGTCGAAGTCACACCTCGTGGTCAGCACCTTACGTGGACTACCCCCATTGACGTAACAAGGTACTATAGATGCTTTGAAGACTGTACAACACAAAGGACGTTATTACAGAAATATATTAGTTAAGGTAGATACAGGCGAAAGTAAGACCACTACCGCATGGGCCAGTCCATGGCGTATCATTAACTAATGCGCGTTGCTTGTACGTGACCTTGGCAGGGAGCGATGATCTGTTCGACATTCAGTGATCCAACTGCCGGATGATTTGGCTAGGGCTCAGTGACATTTCACTGGCCCTACAATACTCCCCCACCAGATTCAACGGCCGTTTGAATCGGTACCAAACATGTTGGGAGCAGTCGCGCGCCAGAGAGTGCCAAACGAATATTATAAATCCTCCAGGTATTGCTTATCTGTAAAAGAAATGGAAAGGAGGCGGCAGAAACTGGTCGGGAAACAGCGAGTCATAATATGTTAGTAGGACGTTGGTTAAACGTAAAGCGATTAACCATAGAAATAATGAAAAGAACAAAACGTTTTATTGTTCTATCAAGTCGCGCTGAAATATATAGCCTTGACAAGTAATTCAGTTCCTCCGATGACAAACATTAAGTCCGTCGCAAGAGTAATGATGCTATAGCGATAGTAGGATAAGTGTATTATCAATCGATGTCCTTGTTTGTACTGTCATTAGTTTAAAGTTGTAAGTCGGACAGTGTCGTTGACAGCTATTAATTAGTGCCGAATTCTAGTTATATCTATATCTAACAGACTAACCGTAAGTACAGAAGTATAACAGTGAAGAGTGGTCGTGATTTCGTTGTGCGAAGCTATTGACCAACTTGTAGTCAGAGTTTGAAAAGTCGATGACTGCTGTTACAGTCAGTAAGGGTTGAAGGCTACAAATCCACAGCAAAGGTGGCACGATGAAGTCTCTAAAAGATGATAAACGGTGAATGCTGCGTGTTTGTTCGGTTAGTGAACAGAAAAATATCGAAAAGAACATAAGAAACCAAGAGTGTCACTCTGGACTCATGTCAATGATACCCGTGAAAAACGCTGTCAGTGTTGGGATAGAGGCGACAATATCGTTTTCAGTTTGCAGGAGATTCGCTCGACTGCATAAACTGATGATTCGCGCGAATGATATTGTCGTCAGACCACCAATTGAACTGGACAGGTTGTAAATCGTCGAGTAGTTGAACAGCCGATTGATGTACCGGAATCATCTGTTAAACAACAGCCACGATGAAACAATACTTCATAAAATGAAGTGCGACATCGAAGTAGAACAACTACAATGGTTCAGATGTGTTACAATGTCAAGTCTAAATAACATCGTTCTTACGTATACTGACAGTTGCACTGAACGTTCGTTTAGGTATAGTTAGCGTAACAGTTGGATGTGTGAATAAAAACATATACGAAAACTATGGTTGGGTTCGTGGAGAATTTTCGAGGACGTTTAGATATTTTCCAAACCCGTATCGCATGTAAATAAACCGAAAATAGAATTAAAATGACTGTTGTGTAATAAGGAAATCGAGCCATGATTTACCGTGTGAATTATTAGCAAATACAAGGGGTATAATAAACATTAATTAAAATGGTAACCACCAATGTAACTAAGGTTTAGAGGGTCCAGGTAACGTGGCCATTTCGTAAAAGGATGATACAAAGAGCTTATTACCTAGCGTTAAGTGACATACTAAGTACGACAACGTGTGTACTTGGGACATGGACTAAGCGTGCTCGTGTACATGCAATATGTTTTACCACAGTATGTCGACTAACGAGTCATAAATGTACATGATTTCGACTAAAACTTGACGGCAGTGACAGAATATATGCCTACTTCACGTAAAAGCAACTACGAAATGTTATCACATATCATAAATATAGTACGAAATAATCTAATGAAATTATGAAACTCGCCTGGGTTACTCTTGCCTTTAAGTAATGAAGTAGGCAGTAGTTTGAATCTGGATTATGTACGAGGTACTGTTGATTAAATTTTTCGATTAACACAGCGTTGTAGACTGACGAACAGTCTAAACGAGATCTAAGATCGCAGGAAATTTATAGTTCAAACTCACCGTGAATTTCTAGCATTCGTATCCTCTGTTTGGCCATGGAACTCAGCAATTGGAAATTAGGCAGGCAGTGGTAAAAAAAAGCAGAACATTCTAGTGGATAGTGGTTAAGCAGAAAGATGAATTTATAGTCGATAGTTAATCTTGTCTTATTTATACCAGTGGATAAGGTACAAAGAGATATGCGTTCGTGTTGCCTTGTGGCTATACTCACGAGTGGTTGATATTTTAACAGACATATTACACAGGAGCATTTACATGCTGCTAATGCTTGTTAAAGAACCACGATAGCCTATTATAATCGTAGTTGATTGGTTAGTTCTGTCGATCGAACGAAGTATTTAGGTTTAAATGCTAATCAACATTGACATGAAGCAACGAAAGTTCACAGTAACAGATTAACATAGGCGATGATAAAAATGAAAAAGAATAAGTATAGAATACAATAATAAAGATTATAGTGATAGGTTGCGTTATTCGAAGTCTTGCTCACCAGTGTAGATCACCAACGTAGATGATCTATGTCGAAATGATTGGAGGCCGACTCGAGTTAGACGTGAATAGTGTGACGAACCAACTAACGTCGAAGTCACACCTCGTGGTCAGCACCTTACGTGGACTACCCCCATTGACGTAACAAGGTACTATAGATGCTTTGAAGACTGTACAACACAAAGGACGTTATTACAGAAATATATTAGTTAAGGTAGATACAGGCGAAAGTAAGACCACTACCGCATGGGCCAGTCCATGGCGTATCATTAACTAATGCGCGTTGCTTGTACGTGACCTTGGCAGGGAGCGATGATCTGTTCGACATTCAGTGATCCAACTGCCGGATGATTTGGCTAGGGCTCAGTGACATTTCACTGGCCCTACAGTCGTCAAAGGTTTCAGAACCCTTTGGTCAATACGGACAGCTTTTATCCATTTATATGCTATAACAGCTTCGACTCTGTATACAGTATTTGCTCATCCTATAGTGGAGCGTTGCACACAATCGGCTAGCACTTGTCCAAAAAGGGATGGTTGGCTGTTGGGAAAGAATCAGAGAACCGCAACTAAGCTGATTACCGGAATCGCAAAACTCTCGTATGATTATCGACTGGGCAAGCTAAACCTATTTCCACTATTATTATAGAGCAACTAGCGGTGACTTGGTCACAGTTTAGATCATTAACATAGATGACCTGTGTCTAATGATTGGAGGCCCACTTAAGTTAGACGAGAATGATGTGACAAATAGCTAACTTTGAAATAGCACTTCGCGGTCAGCACCTAATGTGGATTACCCTTTCGTCGTATCAAGGTACTGTGGCTGCTTTGAAAACCGTATAAAACAAGGGATATTATTACATAAATATATTGGTAAGAGTACGTAGAAAAGGGAGAGTAAGACCATCATCACATTAGACAGTCTATGGCGTTCGATTGATTGATGCGCATTAGCTGTCTTTGAACTTGACGAGGATTGGTGAACTGTTCGACATTCAGCCACTCAACTGCCGATTGATTTGACTAGGGCCTAGTGACATTTCACTAGTCATACAGCAACTTTAAATTACTTAATAATAAGTCTGCATCGGATGTGCCCTCAGTTTTCTTATTTTCCAAAACAGGGAATTCACGAGTATATTCTAAAAATGTTCACAAGCCCGGAACACATTACTTGTCATTTGACTATCTACTCGTCAACGCATAGAACTCATTTGGTTAAAGCTCCATCAGTGGGCGCTTTAAAAAATATGTTGGGTTAGCTGAGAGAGCATCAGCGCCCAAGAGTGGCACAGGTCACCCAATTTCTTGTCCTTTCGAGTCTGAAACTATTAATTAGGCCTTTCAAGGTCGTGGAAGAAAACGCGGTAGTCTTCGAAGGTGTTGTGGTGTAAACCCATTTTTTTACAAATCCATACCAAGATGAAAGCTGTTTGTGTTATGACTGGTACAGCTGGCGTAAAAGGCGTTGTCAAATTCACTCAGGAAGTAAGTTAGTTGCAAGCCGTTATTTAGCTGAAATGTTTATTTTACTACTGGCTATTTCAGGAATGACCACTTTCTAGTGAGAAATTGTTGTATTTACGTCAGTTTCTGTGTTTTCAGCACTGAAATGAGTGGTTTCTGAGAGGCAGATATGGTTAATAGTGCTTAGAACTTCTGGACCGTGAACTTCAAGACAGTTCTTACAAAAGACAAAACATGTCACCATTTTGCCGTGAAAAACAAAAATGGCAACCTCCAGATGCCATGCCACACAAATTCACACCGGATTTCTTTTAATGTGTTACATACGCTCACCTCGAGCTTCTATTTCTCCGTTTTTTCGTAAATACTGGATAGTATTATCCATTGGGTGATTTTTCAATACTTGTGAAGGAATATGTAAAAGTGTTGATTGCTTGATTGAATGGTAATAGTGTTCTCGGTTCTATCTAAAGCGGAGGACCTTCAAGCATCGAGACTCTTGTTCCAGGGTTATAGTCAAACCAACTCGACCGTCTCATAACTGACAGAATCCTTACTGTATATCATTCAGTGAGCGATTTTCATGAGGATATAATTATTGAGTATTTCTGAATTATTGAAAGTCTTTGAAAAACCATGTGTTGTAACTGCAGAGTATCAGTGACACTAGAAATATACGTGACGGGTTAGTATTCTATTGTCACTTATCTTACTAACAGATTTGCAACCCGACTTTTAAGCACTTAATCTTGTTACTAATGCACTGGATAGCTAGCAGTTCTGTACTTAGTATTGCAGTGCCGGTAAGTGCTACTTATGTTACGGCAATACAGTGGTATAACGAATAGAGAGTATGAAAAAGTACTGAAAATGAGCTGGAAAGTAATTTAAACTGTAGTAAGTTCATGAGGTTTGATATCGGGATTCCAAAAAGTAGAAGACTTTTATTTCTGCAGTTAGAGAATAGGTTTATTCAGGTACCACCATATGTACTAAGGCCTGGTAAGCTTACAGATGCCTTGAAATTAAGGAATACCAACATTCAGTTGTCTGTCCATCACATCTCGTAGATTTCCTGAATAAAGCTCATATTAGCAACATAAATAAAGCTTGGGGGTGTTTGAAAAACTACTGCACTAAAATACAATAGAAAAAAAATTATTTTCTATTATATTGGTAAATTTCTTTATCAAAATACCGTGATTTCAAGAGAGATTGACTTGTGAATATGGAGTTCATTAGTGATTTATAAATTGCATATGCTTGTTAATTTATTTTTACTTAACCATTCTTACACAATCTGTATTATAGTTAACCAAGAATCAGTCTTCATTTCTCCGGGTCATTTAAAAGTTGCTTAAACTTTCGAGTGCTATTTAGGTGAATCGTAATTAAATAGTAATAGAAATAATTCAGATTTTGTTCTGGGAGTAATAGGATATCTAGTTATTTCCTCTCACCAATTTGGTAAACCTATGACGTAACAACGATACATCAAAAGTATTATAAAGAAATGAAAGTATAGTTATGATCATATGAGTTAAGAGTCAGTCAGTCAGTAACAACGTAGAACTTCGTACGTACGTACATCAGTTCGAGTTGCCACACCACATTAGCACAGAGATGCAGTTGTCGATTCAAATCCCGTAGTGGTAGAGGTAATAAGAGTATAAGCAGTAATCGGGAAGATTAGGGTTTGGAGATGTTATTTAAAGAGTATAATCCAGTGAAATAGATTTGGAAAGAGGAAAAAAAGGGACAGGAAGAATTCAGAAGATTAGAATTTGGGAGAACACAGAGAGTGGATGCACCTGCGCCATTGCAAACGATTTTGAGCCATGTCATTCAGGGTCTCTAACCATCGGTTGCTATCATCTCGCGGTCCCCAACCAGGTAGTCTACACCTACCAACATGACTCAGTCCACTCGTCAGTGACTTCATGGACTTGTGCCATGTTTTGGTCTGGCCGCCTCTAGCTTTCTTCCAACCTACTCCTATACCACTGAACATAGCACGTCGAGGCAGTCGGTCGTTGGGCATACGTAACACGTGTCCCAGCCATCTCAACTGATGAAGTTTCACTACTTCATCAATTGATTTGCCATCCTTACCTAGTACCCGTTTCCTAACAACTGTGTTACTTACTCGATGGTCCCACGATATACGAGCAATATTTCGAAGACACCTATGATCAAATACTAGTAGCCTACGGATATCCTCTACTCTTACCGGCCATGTTTCACTGCCATAAAGTAGGACGGAACGAACTGCTGCGCAGTAAACACGTCCTTTGGTTGATAGACGGATATCTCGCCTACTCCATAAATGACGCAAGTTGGCAAAAGTTCGTCGAGCCTTCTGTATCCGTGCTGAGATTTCGTCACACACTAAACCACAAGGGCTGATGAGACTTCCAAGATAAGTGAAGCGGTCGACACACTCAACTACTTCACTCCCTATCACTAGTTCGGGTGTCGATGTAACCCAATCCTGAAGCAACATTTTGCATTTCGAGGGAGAGAATCGCATCCCGAACATGCTTGCATTGTTGCTTAGAGTGGTCAGAAGGCTGTTGGGGTTTATATTCACCGTCATTACATCTATTTCAAGTTCTTTAACACTCATAGCTTGTATATCTAAGTCATTAAGGTTGTGATGAAAAAAACCTTCCTGTTCATTAAAATCTGAAGCTACATATACTAACCTACTTTGCTTTTATCAGCCTTGAAGTTTTCAGCCAGAGGATACTCAACCATTTTCTTCATATAACTTCCATTTTTTACTAATACCAAGGTTTCCCACTGTATAGACCTGATCAGTTTTAGTTCATCGGGTTTTTCACAAAACTGATTTTGATGTTCAAGATTGTTATGGCTTATTTACTGATGTTAGTACTGATTTAAAGATACAGAGATAAGTTTTTGATGTAATCTTGTTGATTAAAGGGTTATTGTCTTGTGATTTTTCGATAAACCAAACTTTTATGGGGCTTACATTTAAAGTTAGTAGTCATACACCATCTTAAATTTTTTCCACTAATTGTTTTAAAGAGAATAGTAAAATTGATTTGGTATAATAACTTATGGAAAATGTTTTGTCCGTAGTTGAAGTTTATTGTGTCGTCTTACATTTTTGAAAGATTTACTGCCAAACATTTCTTTTACACTTTCAGACTGACAATGGACCTGTTAATGTGCACGCCGAATTTAGTGGACTCAAGGCTGGTAAACATGGCTTTCATGTTCATGAATTTGGTGATACAACAAATGGATGTATTTCAGCTGGAGCTCATTTCAATCCAACTAAACAAGAGCATGGAGCACCAGAAGATAGCATTCGTCATGTTGGTGACCTGGGAAATGTTGTGGCGGGTGTTGATGGAAACGCAGTTTATAACGCGACTGACAAATTGATATCTTTGAACGGCCCTCATTCAATAATTGGTCGAACTATGGTCGTAAGTATTGGTATTCAGTGTCGTAGTTATTGTATACTATTGGTTTTAATTCCTCAACACTGAACAGCTAGTAAGGTTGGTCACAAAATTCCAATTCTCATATAAATAGGAAATGTCTCGATCTATTCCAGTCGTTAGACTTACTCGATGTAGACGAATTGATTTGTAGGGAAGTCTCATCATGTATGAGTGTTAACTGCTATTTGGAAGGAATATTTTTATTGTGAACAATGGAACTTATTATAAAACTTCATTGTTTATACTCAGCAGAATAGTTGCAGTTAAGCCGTTTAACTTTCAGACGAATTTCCAAGTTCTCTAAAGACGCCTAGAGATATCAAGTTTAATGAGTGACGGGGACTGCAGTTCACAAGCAAATATTTAACCCTTAAGTCGATCTTGGTTTAGCGACCCAAGATTAGAATGTTCACATGCGCAATTCATGATGCCGGTATATGTGAGGAAATCATCATTCCATTCCTCAGATGAATTTATGAAACTAATGAACGCTGCCTAATGACTACCGCTTTCTAAAAATTAATATCTAGATATTTTCAGCAAAATGAACTTCGTATACGTAGCTTGTTTACTTATCCCCAACTTTTTATGATGAATTAAAGCTCTTATACCACTGTTTAGACCAGTTAATCCAGTTATAAACGAGTCTTCAAATCTACTGCAGTCAGTCAGCTACAACGTAAGACCAGGCACATATGTGCATCGGTCCACGTTGACATACCTCATTAGCACAGCAAGATGAACACCGAATTCGTAGGAGTGTTTAAGTCGATGGTGGTAATATATAAAAGAAAGATTGCATATAAGGATATAGTACAGGAAGAAACAATTGGTTCGTAGAAAGAAAGATATGAAGTGATTTTAATCTCATATTTTAAGGGAAGACAAAGAGTGTATACACCTACGCCATTGTGATCAATTCTGAGCCATGTCATCAAGAGTCTCTAACCATTGGTTACGATAATCACGCGGACCCGAACCAAGTAGTCTGCATCTACCAACATGGCTCAGACTAGAAGTTAATGATTTCAATGACCGATGCCACGTTTTGATTTGGCTGTCCCTAACTTCCAGTCGTCTCCAACAATAGTCAGCATTGAGCGTCTTGGTAGTCGGTGTTCAGGCATACATAGCACGTGGCCAAATCATCTTAGTCGATGAAGATTTATAACCTCATCGACTGATTTAACATCATTACCTAATATCCTGCGTCTAACCTCACTATTACTTACCCGGTAATCCCCGCAGATGTGAGCTATATTTCTAAGACATCTGTAATCAAATACTAGTAACTTACGAGTATCTTCTACTCTTAATGACCACGTTTCGCAGCTGTAAAGTAAAACAGAACGAACTGCTGCACATTATATTCATCCCTTAATTGATAGACGGATATCTCGCCTTCGTCATAGGTGACGTAAGTTGACAAAAGTCAAACGACCTTTTTGAATCCATGCAGTGATTTGGTCAAAAACCAAACCATTATGATCAGACTTCAAAGATAAATGAAGTTATCGACGTGTTCGACTACTTCATTCCCTATCCTTAGTTCATATCTGCTGCATCAAACGTTGAAGGTGATCCCAGTTTCGGGATAAAAAATAACACCAACTACTTATATCAACAATATCAGCTCTATTTGGAGAATCATTCACTAATGACAGAAAGTTTGGTGCCTGTCGTTTCAAATAGTGGCAACTGTGTGCTTTCAAAGTGTTTCTGTCGAGGTATCTATGACTTGATTTCATCGATTCAGAATGACATGCTCCAAATTATCCCCGTCTCTACTTGTTATAACGCAGTAAACAGCTACTTAAAACAGGAAAACACTGAAGTTTATACGATGCCATGATGACTACAAAGGCTAACAGCAAATGAAAATTCTATTCACCCTTCACAAATGTGATAACCACTCTAATCAAAATACAATCATTTATGTATAAATTTGACTGGCGTCTGTATGTGGAAATGTCATTTTATTAGAAAAATCCTATTCCGATTGGCAGCCGTTATATCTTCTGATATTAGTTCTTTGGACACTTGTGTCAGTAATTTGATTTCATTAATGGTTATCACTTGGCCGTATTGTATCAGCGCATATCATCTATCGATGAAAATTGCATTCACTCATCTAACTAGTGAGTAAAATCATCTAACATGCTACCACTTAACTGGTATGTTTTACTATTATTGTTAAGTTTATACATATTACTGCTCGAATAAATAAACTCATTCACCAGGTAATTGGGTGTGGGCCACACTAGTTGCGAGGGCTAACGGTACCTCTTGCTAGCCCAAGTAATTGAGGCGGGGTTTGAACACGGGACTTTGTGGTTGTTGGAGATGGCTAGATCCCCAGAAGTTACTTGATAAGTGTCTCATTTTTGTAATTTTATTTTGGAAATTTCAATTTCTTGTTTTCACGCCAAAAGCACCCATTTTCACCGTTATATCGTATTTCCCACTTGGAAGGACCTTAAATGTCATTGGTTCGTTGTCTCTCTCAATATGTTATTTTGTAACGTTTCCCAAGGACATTTTTATGCTGCATATATACGCTTGAGTTGTGCCTGTTTTTGTTCGTGCTTCTGGCTGCTTGTGGAATCCATTTTCGCTCTTCTGAGCCTGAACTTCTCTCTCTAGTTAGGGGAACTGGGACTCATCGTAATAGTTAGCTTATTTGGTCGTTGTATCTCAGAGTCTTCGTTCCGTCCTCAGATTTAGGTGAACTCTTAATCTCTTCAAACATAGGGGTGATCGAAAGTAGAATGTCTTAACCACTAAACAACTGCTCATGTTAGTGTAGAGCCATGGTAGGAAACTAATTGTGAAGAGATGTTTCACTCTATTCGTTTTTTACTACATATCTAGATTTAAGTTTTCGCTTTTCTGAAATTCTTAACTTATTCAAATCATAATATTTTGACCCATGGCCTCAATGGCGCAGGTGTATCCACTCTTTGTGTTCTCCCAAATTCTAATTTTCTGAATCCTTCATGTCCTTTTTTTCTCTTTCCAAATTTATTTCACTGGATTATACTCTTTAAATAACATCTCCAAACCCTAATCTTCCCGATTACTGCTTATACTCTTATTACCTCTACCACTACGGGATTTGAATCGACAACTGCATCTCTGTGCTAATGTGGTGTGGCAACTCGAACTGATGTACGTACTTACGAAGTTGTTACTGACTGACTGACCATGACCTCATTAGGTTTCTCAACAAAAAAACGTTTTGTAGGCTATCATGTCAGTGAATTTTCAACTGTAATATGAGGAATATTATCGATGGTTCCATTTTATCCATTGCTGAAGTAGTCTACTTCCACGGTGTGGGCAGCCGGGAAGTGATATCAGCCCTCATACCCGTGACAGCACAAGAGACCAAGGTGGTCACATTCAAATCTTTCCTACACCTTCTAATACCTCTCTTATCTCCCCGACTAACCCTCCCCACGTCTCTTTATCACCTCGCACCGCTAGGGCAAACGATTCGAGTACGTGAAACGCCATTCCTGGTCTCCTGAAACCACGCTCTAAACTACACGTAGGAGCTTTTAACGTACGAACACTTTGCCAATTAGGACAGCAGGCTTCCTTAGCTAAAACTTTAGAATCTCGCGCCATTGATGTGTGCTGCGTCTCCGAAACGCGCATACAGGATCCAAGTAGCGTCATTCATTTGACCTCACCATGCCAAAATAAAGAACCGACTCGATTTACGCTTCGTGTATCTGGAAGCCCTGATTCTGCTTCCCGTGGCCTCGCCGGCGTAGGTATAGCATTGAGTCCTAGGGCAGAACTAGCTCTCTTAGAGTGGATCCCAGTAGACAGTCGTTTGTGCGCTGTCCGACTGAACGGAACAGTAAGAATCCGGAAAGATAGGGACACTCGTCGTTGCCTCTTCGTCGTCTCTGCCTATTCTCCCACTGACTGCAGCTCAGATGATGTAAAAGATGAGTTTTACAGAAAGCTTTCGGACCTTCTCCGAAAAGCTAAGCGCTCGGATGTAGTAATAGTGGCCGGTGACTTTAATGCTCAAGTAGGTAAACTAAGCGATAGGGAAAGACACCTAGGTGGATCTTATGGTGTCGTGGCTCAAAGAACAGATAATGGCGACCGTCTGTTGCAGCTATGCTCAGATAACCGCCTGTTCCTTGCAAATACTAACTTTAAACATAAGGAAAAACATCTTTTAACATGGAGACCCCCTAATTCGTCCCAACGTTGGACCCAAATAGATCACATCGCTATCAGCCACCGATGGAGGGGCTCGATAGAAGACTGTCGCTCATTCTGGAGCACATGCCTAGATTCAGATCATGCTCTAGTGCGAGCGCGTATTTGCTTGCGTCTTACTGGACGTAGGAAAGATCCTGCAAGGAAACCTCTTAGGGCCCTACTTAATGATAGTCAAGCTAAGAGTATATTTCAGGAACAACTAGGAAAACAGTTAGGCAGCCATGTATGTGATGCCCACCCCGATGCAGCATGGAATGATATCCGAAAAGCTGTGGAAACAGCAGTGATATCTGCTAGTAAGGTAAACCAGAAGGTTAGGGAGCAACACTGGATCTCAGCAGCATCTATCTCACTGATAAATGCTCGGAAACACATTCCACCTGGCTCTGAACATAATGAAGAGCGGAGTCAGCTTAAGCGCAAGCTGACAAGAAGTCTACGCAATGATCGCGAACAGTGGTAGGTGGCGAAAGCAAGAGAGATGGGAAAGGCAGCGGCAATAGGTAATAGCAGACAATTGTTCAGACTCGTTAAGGAAACCGGGATTAGGAACCCGACCGTTAGCGAAACAATTTCAGAGAAAGATGGACATATTATTCATTCTCAATCCAGGAGATTGGATCGATGGGCAGAACACTTTAGGGATCAGTTCAACTGGCCTTCAGCCACACTTCGGTTTCCCACGATCTCTAGTCAACCTGAATGGCAAGTTAATGTAAGTCCTCCGTCCCTTTACGAAGTTGAAAAAGCCATAGGAAATCTGAAACGAGGGAGAGCAGCAGGCCCTGACAGGTTTACTCCTGAGATTTTTAAGGATGGTGGTCCAGTATTAGCAATGAGATTAACCGAGGTCTTAAGTAGAATTTGGGAACTGGACGTAATCCCATCTGACTGGTCTCAATCACTGATTGTGCCAGTCTATAAGAAAGGACAAAAGTCCTCTTGTGACAATAACAGAGGAATCAGTTTGACTAATATAGTGTCTAAAATATTAGCTTCAATAATACTTCGACGCCTAACTAAAGCTCGTGAAGAGCAGACTAGAGAAAATCAGGCTGGTTTTCGACCTGGACGTGGTTGTTTAGACCAGATATTCACACTACGTCAGGTTCTAGAACACAGACACACATTCAGACGCCCCACAATCGTAGTATTTCTCGACCTTAAGGCGGCATTCGACTCTGTTGATCGTGAGGTTCTATGGCAGTGTTTGTCACTGAAAGGAGTACCAAAGAAGTACATTAACCTTATAAAGGCTCTCTACTCGAACACAACTGGTAGAGTAAGAGCTTATGGCGAACTGTCATCAGAATTGATTACCTCAAGTGGTGTTCGTCAGGGCTGTCCACTCTCCCCATTCTTGTTCAACTTTGTGGTCGACGTACTTTTAGAGATAACACTCTCCTCATCTAAATTTCCAGGGGTTGAACTTTTACCGGGAGGTTCACTTGTTGACTTAGAATATGCAGATGACATAGTTTTATTTGGTGAAGACGCTGACAAAATGCAGAGTCTTCTGACCACTCTAAGCAACAATGCAAGCATGTTCGGGATGCGATTCTCTCCCTCGAAATGCAAAATGTTGCTTCAGGATTGGGTTACATCGACACCCGAACTAGTGATAGGGAGTGAAGTAGTTGAGTGTGTCGACCGCTTCACTTATCTTGGAAGTCTCATCAGCCCTTGTGGTTTAGTGTGTGACGAAATCTCAGCACGGATACAGAAGGCTCGACGAACTTTTGCCAACTTGCGTCATTTATGGAGTAGGCGAGATATCCGTCTATCAACCAAAGGACGTGTTTACTGCGCAGCAGTTCGTTCCGTCCTACTTTATGGCAGTGAAACATGGCCGGTAAGAGTAGAGGATATCCGTAGGCTACTAGTATTTGATCATAGGTGTCTTCGAAATATTGCTCGTATATCATGGGACCATCGAGTAAGTAACACAGTTGTTAGGAAACGGGTACTAGGTAAGGATGGCAAATCAATTGATGAAGTAGTGAAACTTCATCAGTTGAGATGGCTGGGACACGTGTTACGTATGCCCAACGACCGACTGCCTCGACGTGCTATGTTCAGTGGTATAGGAGTAGGTTGGAAGAAAGCTAGGGGCGGCCAAACCAAAACATGGCACAAGTCCATGAAGTCACTGACAAGTGGACTGAGTCATGTTGGTAGGTGTAGACTACCTGGTTGGGGACCGCGAGATGATAGCAACCGATGGTTAGAGACCCTGAATGACATGGCTCAAAATCGTTTGCAATGGCGCAGGTGCATCCACTCTCTGTGTTCTCCCAAATTCTAATCTTCTGAATTCTTCCTGTCCCTTTTTTTCCTCTTTCCAAATCTATTTCACTGGATTATACTCTTTAAATAACATCTCCAAACCCTAATCTTCCCGATTACTGCTTATACTCTTATTACCTCTACCACTACGGGATTTGAATCGACAACTGCATCTCTGTGCTAATGTGGTGTGGCAACTCGAACTGATGTACGTACGTACGAAGTTCTACGTTGTTACTGACTGACTGACTGACTAATTTTTAAACATAACCATCTACAAAATTTTAAACAGATAATTAGTAATATTTTTAACCCTTATTACTGTAGACCGAATACAAGTGATTGTCAAACTTATTTGTTCATTTCTATGTTATTGGGTACTTCAATACCATAGAATGCTATAAGTTGAAATCTCTTTTATAATTCATTGGTATTTATGTAAGTATTTTGTATCTTTAATTTAGATTCATGAAAATGAAGATGATTTAGGCCGTGGTGGACATGAGCTCAGTAAAGTAACTGGTAATGCTGGTGGCCGTCTAGCTTGTGGCGTTATCGGTTTAGCTGCTGAGTAGAGTTGTAGATTTTTGTTTTTACATTTTTAACGCCTATTCTTCCTGTGAAACAGTATGGTCGTTATTGTCAAGAAAGGAAATTTTGTGTTCTAAATGATTGAAAAATAAAGTCATTAAATATGATTGATTTATTCTTTCTGTATCTACTGGACACGATTTTCCTAACGGAGTTGTCAGTCAGTCAGCTACAACGTAGGACCAGGCACATATGTGCATCGGTCCACGTTGACATACCTCATTAGCACAGCAAGATGAACACCGAATTCGTAGGAGTGTTTAAGTCGATGGTGGTAATATATAAAAGAAAGATTGCATATAAGGATATAGTACAGGAAGAAACAATTAGTTCGTAGAAAGAAAGATATGAAGTGATTTTAATCTCATATTTTAAGGGAAGACAAAGAGTGTATACACTTACGCCATTGTGATCAATTCTGAGCCATGTCATCAAGAGTCTCTAACCATTGGTTACGATAATCACGCGGACCCGAACCAAGTAGTCTGCATCTACCAACATGGCTCAGACTAGAAGTTAATGATTTCAATGACTGATGCCACGTTTTGATTTGCCCCCTAACTTTCTTACAACCATCCCCAACACCAGATAGTATTTTGCGTCGTGGTAATCGGGTTCAGGCATACGCAACACATTGTCCAACCATCTCAGTCGATGAAGATTTACAACCTCATCGACTGATTTAACATCATTACCTAATATCCTGCGTCTAACCTCACTATTACTTACCTGGTGATCCCAGCAGATGCCAGTAATATTTTTAAGGCATCTGTGGTCAAATACTAGTAGCTTACGAGTATCTCCTACTCTTAATGGCCACGTTTCGCAGCTGTAAAGTAAAATAAAACGAAATGCTGCGCAATATACTCGTCCTTTTATTGATAGAGGGATATCTCGCCTTCATCATAGGTGACGTGAGTCAACTCTAACGGAGTTGACTAGTTAAGTGTTGCATACTTGATAGATATCTGGATTTATCGTTTGTTCCGTAGTTGATGTAATTTAATATGTATTTAAACGAAGGTTTTGCACAATTGTCTAGACTTCATCGGTGCATATTGTGAATAATAAAATTGTTCAATCAAGTAAAGTAGTTTACATTCTAAACTACTTCACTAATTGTCTTCAAACTAAAGGTGTCTTGCATTTTCTATAGACTGGCTTCCGTCATACTTCGTAGGTTGTTCAAGACCCGAGAAAGATTGACTCGCGAGGAGCAGGCTGGGTTTCGTTCTGGTCGAGGATGTATTGATCATATATTCACCCTCCGCCAAATGTTAGAACACCGCCATACTTATCAAAGTCCAACAATCGTAGTGTTTCTTGACATCAGGGCTGCCTTCGATTCGTTGGACAGGACTGTTCTCTGGGATTGTCTATTGAAGAAGGGTGTGCATGAGGAGTTTATTAACATCCTAAAAGCCCTATATAAAAACACCTCAGGCAGAGTGAGGGCATACAACCACCTCTCTCCATCGTTCCATTCGAGCAGTGGGGTTAGGCAGGGTTGCCCAATCTCACCATTCCTCTTCAACTTTGCCATCGATGACATTCTGGAAACAGCTCTGATGGATGTAAGTAATGGCGATGTGGATCTGTTGCCTGGAGAAAGACTTCTCGACCTTGAGTATGCGGACGATATTGTCTTACTGTGCGGTAATGCCCAAGGCATGCAATGCGCACTTAATCAGTTGGCAATCAGTGTCCGTAGGTATGGTATGTGCTTTGCACCTTCGAAATGCAAAGTACTTCTACAAGACTGGCAGGATTCTAATCCTATACTCACCCTGGATGGTGAGCAGATAGACGTAGTCGAGAAGTTCGTGTATCTGGGTAGCTGCATAAGTGCTGGTGGTGGCGTGAGTGATGAGATCAATGCACGTATATTGAGAGCCAGAGCGGCTTATGCCAATCCGGGCCATCTTTGGAGCCTTCGTGATGTTAGTCTGGCTGTAAAAGGTCGGATCTACAACGCGTCGCTGAGAGCAGTTTTGCTCTATGCTTGTGAAACCTGGTCTCTCCGAGTTGAGGACGTTAGACGACTCTCTGTGTTTGATCATCGCTGTCTCCGAAGTATTGCTGACGTTCAGTGGCAACACCATGTCAGTAATGCAGAGGTTCGGCATCTTGTGTTCGGGCACAGAGACGATAATCCAATTGGTGTCACCATCTTGAAACACCGACTTCGGTGGCTTGGACATGTTCTCCGAATGTCGTCCCAGAGAATTCCACGTCGTGCATTATTTGCCGACTCTGGGACTGGTTGGAAGAAGCGGAGAGGTGGTCAGTGCATGAGATGGTGTCGTGGCATGAAAGAAAGCTGCAAAGGGCTGGCTTCTGTTGGTCCTTCACGACTCCCTGGTTGGGGTCTGAGAGATGGTGCTACACAGTGGCTAGAGACGTTATCAGATATGGCTCAGAATAGAAGCCAGTGGCGATCCTGCTGTAACCTTCTTTTACTTTCTTCATAAAAAGTGGTTGTGTGTTTCCCTTACCTGAAAGATTTCTTCTGATTGTACCTTCCCGTTCCCTCATTTCTACCATACTACCTTACACCAATCTCCTCGTTATTGTTCTCTTTTTTTTTCTATTTCTCTTCGAATTCTCATTGTTTTGTGTGACGCATATATATTGGCGCTCTCTTGTACCAATATTCATGTGTTCAAATAAATAATAAATAAATAAATTTTCTATAGGTATGAAACATTTTCAGGCTTTTATTTAACGTGTTCACAATACGGTCTCAGTATTTCTTAGTACTAAGCAGTATCCCTTTCAAGACCAAGGATTGTCACAAAATTGTCTTTCGACAAGGCAAACGTTGTTTTTAGGTCATTGAAAACGGTATTGTATGCTTTTTTCAGTCTGACAAACCTTGTACTACCGGGTTTTTATCGATTAATTAAAATTGAACTCTTTTACACCAAGTATCAAAATTTTTCAGATTAAGTGTTTATCAATATACTGATTGAATGTTCATTCGCTAAATGTAAACATTTGCTCGGAGAAAAACGTAACTACAAAACAGATATGTATATTATCACATCAGATTTAATCGACAAACTATCTGTGGTTAACTAATTCCTTATTTGCCGTTTTCTACATTTGGTCGATATAGAAACAGAATTTTGGTTGTTTTGTGTTTTATGGACTGGGTGGTTTGATTGTAGTTCTGGATGACTTCATGAGCGCGTAATTCACGTAGAAGTAAACTGTCTAGTTAATCCATCCGTCTTAATGATATTGCTTGTAAATGATTTTCTTTATAAGTTTTGTCAGCTTTGTTTCTTTTTAGATTCTTGTTAGACGTTTTGTTGTGCTGACTTCGAGCCATAACTCAGACAGTAGGTGACTTTTGAGTTATCTTTAACTTTCTAGTAACTTAGTCTTTTCCATATGAGATTATGACCTTCAGCACATATACCCCTTATATTCATGTCTTTGCAACTCTACTCTTTGTCTTATGTGTTCTTTTGTGTTTTTGTTCACTTACTATTTCATTCAGCGCCTGTGTTTTCGTCGCATTATGAATCACCTATTCTGAGTTATATTGACTTTTATAATGAGTAGTACTTTGAATAGGCTCATTTGTTGTTTCTATTCCCCATCACGTTGTCTGTCTGCCGCAATGAATGCATGGAATCTAAACATCCGAGACACTCGTATTCGACTTCTAATATCTGAGTTTTTACTAGCGGGATTTGTCGACAGAGCATATGCGGTATAAGTAGGATCTATTTCATTTACGTCATTAAGGATTCCATTGTATTGAACTACCAGGGAAGTTATACTCACTGCCTTCTCGTGGCGAAGTTGTTATTCACTAAATCAAGAAGGCAAAAATCAAGTGTCTGGTATTCCAACCGGGTTGGTGGATTCGGAGGATCCATCTAGGGAAGTTGAAAAACCCTGATTCCAAACCAATTGGTGCACATGTGATCCAGGATTCTGAGAGAACAAATGGTATATGAACCAATCGTTGGTCACCGATTATCATGTGACTGCATCTCCTGACGTCGCTCCACTACCTTTTGGATTAGACCTCTAGATCGAAGGTTCATAGTGTGAACCCCTCAGAAAATCATCTGCCTTGTTTTGGACACCCGGACAGTATCACAGCCCTCACACAAACCGGATGATGAAGTATGGCGCATATATATTTGATGTCTCCTTGTACCAATGTTTATGTGTTTGATTATGCCCCTACCTAATCATTTGGCTACTGCTCTAACTCACATTAAATCAAGAAAGATTTATGAAATTTATTTGCCACTAGTATTGATGTCTTATAGAGCATATAATATGAATAAATATTTCTCACCTATGCACAATCTAAAATAGTTCGTATTAGACATACTACTGTATATACTGTCAGTAGTTAAACGTTTTGTGGAAAAATAGTCCAGCCTAATAGGTGGTTTGTTAACGTATCTGAAAGTCTACATATCTATGTGAAACAACAAATTAATTGAAAGAATATGGTATTTGTGTCGCATCACCTATAATCTATTCGATTAAGTAGATTTATAATGATTGTGAGTAGTACCAACATTATAATTAACCGTGTATGATTGATAAGGTATGAATTACCATATAGTTCTTTATAATAATTCCAGTACATCAGTGAATAAATGAACGTTTCTGATTATGGTAGGTTTACTCACTTGACATTTAGTGTGTGGTGATAGATTGATGAAACAAAATGAAAGTTATCTTGAGCTTCTTATATAGTGAGCAATTATCTTGTACATAGGCTCAGTAATATGTGTCTTGACAGCTCTACCAAAATCATCCACCTGAGCTACAAATCTTCTCCACCACCTCAATACTGGAACCATCGAATGCCTAGTGTTGAGGCTAGACTCAGTGTACTGGGAAAAAATAACAAATCAGTTAGTGTGGTTTTGAATTTTCATCGACCGAGTTTGTTGAAACATGTGTTGAGCAAGCATAGTCAATGCCTACTTTAACTGGTGATTTCGGCTGGTGTAAGATCGAGTAAAAAGCTAGGAGCATTCAAACCAAAATGTGACATCAATCCATGCAGTTATTGACTGTTGATCTAAACCAAGCTGGTAGGTGTGGACCACGTGGTTGGAATCGACCTGATAACTATAATCAATGTTAGAAGCCTTTGTGCGATATGAATAAGAATCGTTCACAATGGTACATTTACTTCAAGTCTTGAGTTCCAGTATTTTTCTATATTGATTATGATCAGTTACTTTTAGTTAAAGGCTTATTATACTAATAAACACTAGACTAGTACGTCGATAGACGTTTGAAATTTGCTAGCTAACTTTACTGATTCAAACGAGTATTTTCGATTTTCTTTAGTTAAAACTAAATATATCGAAACAACTCTGTACAATTTCGGTTACTAGAAGTTTAAAATTGTATGGATATCATTTTTTTTCGTATTTCTGAATTGTATGTATTCTGTAATTGTAATACTGTTGTTGATTTGTCTTTTAGTTTTTTGATAATTAAGCCAGAAATAGCAAATGATTGCATTCATGATAGAATTTCGAAACGTTTAGTAGTAAGAAGTCATGACTAACCATGATAACGATATTTTTTTAAGGAAAACAATAATTCACTAATATAATTAGTTTAAGATGACATTTAAATTGTAAATTGATCGAGGTTGAAAAGTGTGTAGTGTTATGTATCCGTTCACTTGTCTAAATGTATCATGCTTTTTAAAATTTTATTGTCTTTAATCTCATCTAGGAGCATTCTATGTTCACGACCATGAACTGGCAAACAGAACGAAAACTAGCAACGCAATAGTAGGACGAAGCTAAGCTATTCCTTTGTTCTCCAGCCTTGTCAATCAGAGGAGGAAGGCCAGATTCAGACGGAAAAATATATAACTCCATAAGCAGCCAAAAAAAATAAATAACAAGCACTAAACTTATGCATAATATATACAATACAAAAATGTCCTTGGAAAGCGTCACATAATAGCATACTAAAAGAGAAGACGAATCAATGACTCCTAAGGTCCTTCCAGGTGGGAAATGCAAACTGAGAGTAATAGTGGGCGCTATCGGCGCAAAACTGGGAAATTTCAATCTCAAAAATTAAGTTACAAAAATTAGCTTACCAAGTGGTTTTCGCGTATCTTGTATCCTAAACAGGGCAATGTATGTGTACCGTTGATTTGTTTCAAACTAAGACACTTCTCAATTCTGTTGCCAATAACAGTTAGGGACAAGGGCTAATACTCAAATCAAATTTTCATTGTATATAATGGAAGAAGTTAACCTGGATGACATATAGTTAATGTTGGGTTAACTTGAGGGAGTTTGTAATTGTCAATTTAAAAATGGATTTCAACATAAAATATGAATAATTGTTGTAAGAGCCACTTAATAATTGTTTTGACCTACTATAACCAGTGTATCAGCGGATAAAACAACTGATAGGTCTCAGGTTTGAATCATTCTCTACTTAATTCAGTTAGTATGTGACTAGAAGCCAGTAAACAAGCATATGAACCTGTATTCTGTAGATTTGTTACACTTCTAACTGTTAAACTGCTTATCACTATTATTGATAGGCCACTCAGTCCATGTTATGTCGAATTTTATGTGTAATACTTATCAAAATAACAGTATACATATTCATTGAATGAAATGAACAGATAAAATAACAATTTTTCAAAGATGGTATTGATAATTATCATTAATTTTCTTTTAAAAATAGCTCAATGATCAATTTTGACAGTGATTTAAACAAAAATTCATGAACCATTTAACTTGTTAATAAATGACATTTAATGATAATGATCATTTATTATGTGGCTATTTACAAATATATCAACGAATAAACTATAATTATCATTATTATCTATAATGACAATGATAGTAATAATAATACGAAATTGATTGTTGTAAACCTACAGGGGTTTAATATAAACATATGTCAAACTTGTCTCCATCAATAATACTAAGCATTTTGTTCACATTTGATTGATCACTGGGTGGTGATCAATATCATGTGTATCAAGTCCTTCTTAGTGCATATCGAATGCTATCGACTGAGTTGTAATGTGGACACTAGTCTAGGTGACTCGACATTGTGCACACTATGTTGAGATAAGCTGGTGGTTGGAGGTAGTCAACAGTAAACCCTGGACCCGAGTTTCGTGCTACTTGGCACTCTTTAGCAAGGTGTACCTGTAATCCTGAGGGAACTGGTGCTCCTTGACGGATTCGATCCCGTATCACCCAGCTTCACAGTCAGAGATGTTACCACTGGGCTGCGACTAACCTTATGTAGGACTGAGATGTAGTCACATTTGATTGATCACTGGGTGACGCGGGATCGAATTCATCAGGGAGCACCAGTTCCCTCAAGATTACAGGTGCTGGACTGAAGTCGGTTGAAATGGTTTCGAATCTGGGACATATTAGCAGAAAATTGTACGCCTTGATTACCAAGCTAACAATTCATGTTTACTAACTAATTACTTCCTTCTGAATGATATAAATAGTTATTAAATTCTGTTTAATTTTCTATACTACTTGATTGCTTTAGTAATTTATCTATGTACGGCTAGTGAGAAAAACAAGAATGCAAAGAGAAATTGTTTTCTCTTTTTATTAAAAATATATTCTTGTCATCATAGTTATTATTGTACAGACAGAGATGTAAAAATATGAGATAAATATTGAGGAGAGATCGATGAAGAAAGTTGCAAACAAGGCGAAACGATAGATAAATATATTCGCCCATGATATAAAAAGATACCAAAGATCCCTGACCTTCGCTTTTTTATTTAAACATATCCACACTAGTACAAGGAGACATCAAAGATATATGCGCCACACCTCATCATTCGGTTTGTGTGAGGGCTGTGATACTGTCCGGGTGTCCAAAACAAGGCAGATGATTTTCTGAGGGGTTCACACTATGAACCTTCGATCTAGAGGTCTAATCCAAAAGGTAGTGGAGCGACGTCAGGAGATGCAGTCACATGATAATCGGTGACCAACGATTGGTTCATATACCATTTGTTCTCTCAGAATCCTGGATCCCATGTGTACCAATTGGTTTGGAATCAGGGTTTTCCAAGTTACCTAGATGGATCCTCCGAATCCACCAACCCGGTTGGAATACCAGACACTTGATTTTTGCCTTCTTGATTTAGTGAATAACAACTTCGCCACGAGAAGGCAGTGAGTATAACTTCCCTGGTAGTAGCTGTACACTCACACACGTGTACTTACTATATATTCATCTTTTTTTCCCTTGTTTTATTAACACAATTATTCTCGTTGGGTTATTATCCTTTAATTATGCACATGTATATATTTATTTAGTACACAAATAAAACAATTTACAATTCTCTCTTGTTGTATTAATTTCAAATATAGAATGTAGCTTGTCAAATTATCAATTTCATATTCATTATTGTCATCATGATAAGTACAATATGATTTGAAATAGTTTTCATTTATAATATGTACTATATCTTCACTATATGATTCTTCCTTACTTACATACATACATATATCTTGTTACATATCATAGACAGATTGTGTTGTTTTATCTCAACATAAAGCGGGTTGTTTTTTTTTTTACTTATTATTTGACAGATGTCGTCAAATATATTGGCTTCATCATCAACATTATGATTGTTATCATTGTTTATATCATGTCGCCAAATCTTTTGAATAAATTATTTGAAAGGACCACTATGGCCATTTTATTCATTTACATTTCTTTGATGTATAAATATAAACTTGTATTTGTGTGTGTGTGTGTGTGTGTGTGTGTGTGTGTGTGATTGTACATAAAGCTACATTCCTAACTAGTTTTATGTTATCATCATGAACAAATGTAAAGTATTTGTTAAGATAGTATGTTTTTTTTAGTTGTTTACCATTAATAATGATGACACTAATGATGTTTAGCAACAAAATAAAATAAAGCTGGCGGTATGTCATCTTTAAATGAACAGGAAATCACTAACCGTTTAATAACGTCATACAACTTTGAAACAAAAAAAACCCAATGAATAAAGTACCTAAATTGTTTATATTTAGTTGAGAAAAAAAAGTTTTAAAACTTTAGCTCATTTATTTTTTGTTTTAAATTTTTCGCACATTTACAAATTAATATATTTTAAACAAAAAGAATTTATGAAATATACCCATCTGAATTGTATGAATGTGCTTGTAGGTCTGTAAGATGATGATGTTCATGATGATGATGATGTTAAATCTAAGTAACTAGTAGTACACAAACAGATGGACAAAGTGACCAGGAGACAGATGGATTGTAAAAAAAAGAGAAAAAGGTGAATGAAACAAATGTAGCTAGACGTAAATATTCCAGACAGTTTCATTCATGCATACATACACATACATATACACACAAGTACATGCCTTTATGTACATAATTGTCTACTTATACCTACAGAACTAAATTTAAAGATTTAATCAACGAATATCTGTAGAAATCATTTAAACTGTCAATCATAACTAATTAGATTGAGAGAAGCTAATGAAGTAGACAAATATGTATGTAGAAATATTATTATTATTGTGATTACTATAAAAAGGATTAATTCAACGACAGTTCATTCTGTTTTATAGATTGAAACATTTTGACGTTTATTTCTAATTATACAATAGAAAGGAGTATTTTTCTGGTTAGCGTTTTTTTAGCGAGTTAGTTTTCTACCGTTTGGGGTCACTAATCCCATGGACAATCCTTCTCCTTTACCCGGGCTTAGGACTGGCAGTAACTCTGGAAGAGCTACAGGTGGAGACGATATAAATAGATAGGATATATATTATGAAAATCACCAAACTGCATAATGAGGCAAGCGATAACTTGGAATCCTTAAGGGAAGCGGAAAAGAGAAAGGCCAAAAAACACATTACGTCGGGAAATAGAAGCAGGTACGATAAGGATGAATAACAACTTGAAATAACTAGAAAGGACTGACCAGGACAAGGTTGGATGGAGAGTGCTAGTGGGTGGCCTATGCTCTTCCACGAAAAATAAACAGGCGAAGTAAGTAAGAAAGGAGTATAAGTGACTAAATCTATTACTATGTGAGATTGTAATAGAAGTTGGAAAATTGAGTTGTTCTCAGTGTAATTATGTATTTATATAATAGACTAATTTTCACAATTGTTTTTAGAAGAACGTTATACACAGTTATTGTTTTGCTTTGTTTCTTTTTTTGTTTTTTACATGGTATCAATCCATAATACTGATAGTTACATATTTTTATAAGATGGTAACACTAAATGTAATACAATTTTACATGGGGATAAATTACATGTCTGTGAATTTGTAACATATCCGTTTTGGAATGTTTAATATAAGTGAGATGTAATGAGTCAATGTTGGATATTGTAGCATAGTTTTTACAGAAGATTTCATTTCAAACTCTTACTTTCAACTTATTTGATATTTTCATCCATTAAGTTAAAATTAGAAACAGTGGTTTGTTTATAGAAGACTCATGTGAATAGCTTTAGATAGTTGAAATGAAATTCCCAGCGAAAATCATGCTCTTACATGCAGCACTAATCCAGTTAAATGAAGGCGACAAGACTTCAAAATACTAGGTATTCTATTTTTATTATACATTGTAAAAAGATGGTTATCCTGACACATTTATATGCATAACTCAAGGTTTACTGACATATTCTAACAAAATGACCAACGAGTTTTGAATAGAATAAGATATGATTGAATGTAAGTAATTATTGTAGTGAAAATGATCTTAGTTTATTTGATATATGATAAATAGCGGAATGCATGGTGCGTTTTGTCTTATTTAGGAGTCATCGACAACTGATATGCCACTCTCGTTATTATCTGAAAAAGAATTTCTAATAACTATTACGTTTTTTGTTGGCCTTTTGTCTAAAATCAATTGTAATATAAGATAACGCGAGTTTAGATCTCACTGGAAGCATCAGTCCATTCATGATTAAAGATATGGTTTGATGATAAGTGCTAAACAGCAAGAAACCTTGATTCAGAACTTTCTGTCGACTACTTATGATTACTTATCATAAAACATAGTGCTTAAGATATCTATCCGCTTAGACTAGTGGTCAGAGTGAAACTTGACTGATTGAATTCAATTAGCAAATATGACGTAAGCTACTATGCACTGATCATTTAGCGTAAGTGATAACGATTCTCTGACTTTCAAGTTTTGATGAAAATACTTCGAGCATCTGATAAAGTATGCTTTATCATGGGTCTAAAATTAATATTTAGTATTTGAATGTCTACTGGATTCAGAAAATAAAAGTCTACTTAATCTTGCTTTGTTAATGAGGTGTGGGGACTTGAACCGATATAGACATGTAGTAGGTTCTATGTTACGTTTGACTAACTGACTGATTATGAGAATGGTATTTTACTGAATAAAATAATATAAAGAAGAAGTAAACTGATTGGATGGTTAACGAGTGACATAGTTTGTGGAACGAAATTAAGTATCTATAATCTCCAGAGTCAACCAGTTTGGAAGCAAGATAGTTGCTCACCTAAATCACAGGTGATATCAAGTTTTAGTGGTTCAATTTAAAATTGGCAAGAGATAGAGAATTCAATTTTTTCTGCTGATACTTGTCAAATCAATTAACCACTTAGTATCTAAACTGGTGTTAGTTTAGTGATTATTATTGTCGTTCTATGCAAGAAGTATCAATGCATGTCCTTGGTGAAACTCTGAGCAGTTTAATAATTCGTCATTTAGAAATAAATAAATATATAACCATTTTGCAAAAACGCTTCACAATGAAACCGTTCAGCTCAGAATAAAACTCCATCGAAATCATCCGCTTGACCTACAAATCTACTGCACCATCTCCGTTCTGATATTTGTTTCACAATAACTTCGCTTTCATTTATAATTACTTAGATGTAATTATCAATTAATTACTTACGCCTGTTACTCCCAATGGAGCATAGGCCGCCGATCAACATTCTCCAAACCACTCTGTCCTGAGCCTTCCTTTTTAGTTTATATCCAATTGTTGTTCCTTCTTCTCATGTCTGTCTCCATTTCTCGGCGTATTGTGTTCTTTGATCTTCCTCTTTTCTATTGGTCTTGAGGATTCCACGTGAGGGCTTGTCTTGTGTCGCAGTTGGGTGTTTTCCTCAACGTGTATTCTATCCACTTCCAGCGCTTCTTCCTCCGCTGGGATCTGGTTTGTTCTCTCCCATAGTATGTTGTTGCTGATAGTGTCCGGACAACGGATCCGAAGTATTTTGCGTAGACAACTGTTAATAAACACCTGTATCTTCTGTATGATGGCTTTCGTAGTTTTCCAGGTTTCCGCTCCATACAGTGGAACTGTCTTAACATTTGTATTGAAAATTCTGACCTTGGTGTTGAGTGACAATTATTTTGAGTTCCAGCTGTTCTTCAGTTGGAGATATATGCTACTCTTGCTTTTCCGATCCACGCCTTCACATCTGCATCAGATCCATCGTGTTCATCAACGATGCTAGCCAGATATGTAAAGGGTTTTACATCTTTCAAATCTTCCCCGTCAACTATCAATTACTGTAAAGATAATCTGTAAATAAATAATGATACTGTTGTCACAAATGATATATTTTTCATAGGTAAATCTTTGTCTTCTTTTAGTCTATTTTAATAGTTAATGAACTGGGTGAATGATATTAAGGAGTAATTTCGGTCAGTTTTATAATGTATTGTTGTGTTAAGTGTTACTTCTCAAAGAGTAGGTTATAACATTGGATTTATGTGAAACTTATTCATTATGAAATCTTATCTCACTTTATACTTGATATGGTAAATTGAAAAACTATGAAAAAGAGATCAAAGGCTACTGAATTCGTTATATTAGATAGTGGATGCTCACTGCTGAAGAGTCTCACAATAGGTTTTCCATGGTGGTCTAGCTTCAACTGACTTATGATCTCAACTATTAAAAAGTATATTTATATATTTAGATCAGAATATTTTGTTTCTTTACTGTTCATTTTCATAAAGTATTTATTCTTCTTTAAGTTAATTATAATAGATGAACCAAGTAACAAAGATCCTTTTATTATTATTACTATTATTATTATTATTATTATTATTATTATTATTATTATTATCAAGAACTAGTCAGTGTTAATAAAAAAAGTAATAGGTGAACAGATTTATAAGCAAAGATGGATATTGGCTAGCAGTGGAATCCAGGACGCGCGTTTCGTCCTATTTGGAACTCATCAGCTGGATGTACCTGTATTTCAGAGTTGATGTTCACTCTGGCACTCGAACCCAGTACCCTGAGCAGTTGATCAGTCTCTTATTGATATATATGCATCCTGTGCGGACTGCCTCGATATTACCTGGAGTTACAATCTTTATAGTCAAACATTTCTTTCACTTACCTTTATAATTTCACTTTATAATTTTAATAGTTTTTCCCATTTTTTTCACCTTGTTAATTATATATATATATATATATATATATATATATATATATATATATATATATATATATAAATCTATGATGAAAATGAATGAATCAAGTTAAGGAAACAGGAAATTACTGATTATGATGAAGTGATTACAAATAGAAATTCTAATTAATGAATGATTAGTGTAAATAATATGAAGTTGAAAAAAAGAGAAAAAGAAAGAATATGACAAGAGATTAATCTCAACAATGATTTATTGAATCAATCTTCAGTAATTAATTGTTTATATATACAAACATTCTGTCAGAGAGAATAAACTGGTTTCTAACTAAAGAGGGAATTAGGAAAAATGATGCTGGAAGTGGATTACTTACTTACGACTGTTACCCTTCATGGAGGAGCATTGGCCGCTCACTAGCATTCTCCATCCAGTTCTGCCCTGGACCATCCTTTCCACTTGCTATTCATCCTATTCATGTCTGGTCCTAATCCTCGACACAGTGTGTTCTTTGGCCTTCCTCTTTTCCGTTTCCTTTCAGGATTCCAAGTTATCGCTTGCTTCGCGATGCAGTTTGATGATTTTCTCAATGTGTGTTATATCCACCACCAGAATATT